CAGCAAATTGTAGCATACTGGAAACGACTTTGTGCAAGCTTTGTAGTACAAAGTAGTACTGGGGAGTACTTTGTGCAAGTTTTGTAGTACAAAGTAGTACTGGGAATTGTAGTGCAAAGTAGTAGTGGGTGCAAGCTGTGTAGTGCCAAGTAGTATGTACTGGGAAGTAGTACTGGGAAGTAGTTTGTCAGCTATTTCGTGGATGTAGGTTGCTATTTCGAGTTTTGTGTACGATATTGATGTAGGTAAAGGTTGTGACATTGATGTCCAGGAACAAGTTATAGAACTCTTGACCAGAAACCATGGTGGCGATGTGTTCTGGCCGCAGCCGTTTGCATTTTCCAGGAGGCAGACATGTGTAGCAAGAAAGACTTGGGAACGTGCATTTGTCAGAGGTGTCATGTATTCAGGTCTCATGGTTAGTCACGAAGATTTTCTCATGTTTTGGAGCGGTTATAGTGGATGAGAAAGGCATGCATGATGAGACAGCCATGTTCATAATATCGGACGTCGCAGTGCGCAAGGAGACGTGGCAGTGCGGTCCGTTTCCGAAGACGCGGTGGAGCCATGGCGCAATCGGAGACCTTTGCTGATCTGTGGTCATACATCGAGGAGGAAGCGGCGACTTTGAAGGTGCTGGAATGTAAGACATTGAAAGCTTGTCTAAGCACCGGAAAATGTTGGAAGTATTACAAGATGTACCTTGCTCTTGAGAAAACCTTTTCAGCCGAACAGACTCAAGTGATACAAGAATGGGAAAAACAAAACTGCGTGTCAGATGTGCGAGCAGCCTTTCGGAAGTTTTGTGCTGCTGCAGAAGCGCACGTAGAGGAGATGAAGGCTTTGGGAAAAGGTACATTGCGTGATGTGTGCATGAGTAAGACTGTTTCACAGAGCAGAACTTGGGGAGGCATTTGTTATCGTTTTGTGAAGAACTACACATATGAGAGTTTGAATGAAGAAGAAAAGGAAAAGTGGAAGGATTTGGAACGGCGGGTATGTGTGAAGGATGCATCTACGCAGGCCGAGTTCGATCGTTTCGTCAACATGCTTGAAGATAGCAGAGAAGAGTTGCAAGGGATGCAAAAGTCTACGCTGCTTCAACTCATGCGTGCAGCTGAGCGTACAGGTAAGCCAGAATATGTATTTGGCAGAAATTTTTGGCGACGGAGTTATGAAAACCTTGATGAAGATATGAAGGCCAAGTTGCAGGAATGGGAAGCATTGTTGTGTGTTTCATCGGTTGGTTCGGTAGACAAGTTCCTGCAGATCCTGGATCGAAGAAAGGTAGAATTGCAATCCTTTGGCGCAGCAAGTGTTGAGTCTTTGTTTAATGTGCACGCCAAGAAGCAAGATGCCGAAGTTCGTTTCTGTTATGACTTCATGCAACGCACGTTTCCGAGTCTGACAGAGGAGACGAAAGAGATGGTGAGAAATGCCCTAGGACAGCTCTTGCCAGCAGCAGCCAGTGTGCCGCTGAAGAAATCGCATGAAGCAAAGTTGCATAGCCGGGAGACAGTCTTGGGAGATGACTTGCCACGGCCCAGGTTGCCGAAGAGTTTGCGACAACTGTACGGAAATTCCGCAGATGCCGAAAGCCGCACCATGGCTTTTTTCCATCGTGTCAATGAAGTCGATACTTTTTTGAACGAGCTTGAATTTCAAGACTGCTCGTATTGTCACGAAGGATGGTTTGAAACCAAGCGGACGAAAGCACAGTTGCCTGGGAAGTTTGAAACGCAAACTTACCAAAAAACGAATTTTACAAATGCCGAAAAAAAGATTGGCTTGAGCCCGAGAGACACCAATCTGTGATATGTGCTTAAAAGAAGCCAAAAAGCGAGCGCAAGATGGCTTGCCGAAGGAGCCATTTCGATTGACTGCTGAGAACTTTGCAGATCCTGGCGACACGTTGCCAGAAACGGATGCTTTGACGTTCTTTGAAGAGGAACTGCTGTCGCCGATTCAACGCATTGTGCGGATCTTCACTCTGCATGCCACTGGGCAGTGCGAGCTGCGCGGCCACGTTGGCAATTTGTTTCAAAATGGACCACAGTATGTGCGTCAGATTCCGGCCGTGGTGGGCGACATGAAGATGCTGTTGATTCGTCGTTGCCCGAAAGACCCAAACCGCAAGCAGTGGGTGCCCTTCTTGGTGTCCCGTGTCCGTTTGGAAAAAGACTGTGAAGTGTGGATTGGGGAGAGTGCAGTGTGAAGTGAGAAGTGTGAAGTGTTGACTGCGAAGGGTGCAGTGTGAAGTGTGAAGACTGTCAAGTGTGAAGTGTGATGTGGGGCTTCAAGTGTGACATGTGAAACACGACACCAGTTTCGCAGAGTGCACGCACGCACGGGCTTGGCTGGCGCACGGTGCATGCAAGTTCTATAGATGAGAAAGGTCTTATATATATCTTTAAGGCAACTTCCGCCCCGCCTCGTGCGGGTACTACTGGTATAAGTTAGTGACAATGTTTCCTCTAGTTGCATACTTGATACGGCACACCGGGACAGATCTTGAGTGGGATCATCTGGCTGGTCACTGTCATGCTCCAAAACAAGGAGCAAATGAACATGTGCTAAAAAAATCTAAAAAAGCTATGGAACATTGCCTATTGATGATTTACATATTAAAAATGGTGATTTTCCAAGGCTATGTACATTCTTGTGTGAGTAGTTGAGACCACCAACCAGTGGCCATCGCAATGCCTCAACAAGGCACTGCCCTTAGCGACCGCATGTGTGCTGCAAAACGCAGCCCAGATTTGGGTGCAAAACTTGTCGCAAAAACACATCCACGTGGGTTTGCCTAGATGGTGCACCCAAAAATCCAATGGTTGATCAAACTGTCTCTTGTTAAAACTGCATAAAACTGCCATCTTTGGAATTCTTGGAACATAGAATGGACAAACCCACATGATTCCACATTGATGTACCGAGCTGTTTCTTGGGCTGGAACATTTTTTCGGCATGACACCGTGGCGTAGTGAATCTGTGCAGAAGCTCTGCAAAGAAAGTCGGAGCCTGGGTTTCCTGGGCTTTCACCAGTCCCTGTTGCGATATGAAAATAACGGAATCCTCTGGCCAACCTAGGTGCTAATCAGATGTAATCAGTGAACATCAGTGATTTCATGTTATTTCAAAAAATCGAGTATGCGTAATATGTTTGACGTGTCTTTGTTTTTTTTGATGCTGTGCGTTAGAAAAATGCAGCAATCCATACACTTCACTGTTTTCACCATAATCAGGTGCCTCCTGTACTGGGAGCGTCCGGGACAATAACCATAACCGCAACCCGTCATGAATACATACGTCAGTAAAGGATAAATACCACCCCTAAGGTTAACATATTTATGTTCTTTTGATGGAATATTGTTAACTTCCACAATAAATAAAAGCAACCATGGGGAAGGAAACCACCTGCAACGCCATCATTTTCCAACCTCCCAAGTTAGAAAGAAACCCATTTTTTGTGGACCTCCCTAATCTGATGCATCATCTATACTGATGTCATTACTAACCGTCGTCACAATTCATCCAGACTCATCATACTCTAATAATTGATAATAATTGAATATTAATATAACTGATATTATGATTTGTGACTATTTTCAAGCATCGTAAATATTGAACATAAATGAAAATAATATGAATCCATTGCCTAACATTGCCTAAAATTTGGTTCGGACCAGCCAACAATCTTCGGAGCCCACTCTTTACTCAGTTCCAGGCTCCTAACTTTTTGCACTCCGCCGCAATGCCGTCGTCGAACTGGGCATACCGTTTGCAAGGCGCCAAGCGTTTGTTGGAGGGCTGGACGTTGTGGAAAAATGATGAAAGATGTGTATGGATACCGGGAGTTTCTTGAAATGATGGGTGTTCCCCTCTCTATCGGAAAACCCTGGAAAACCCTCAAACACATGCAATTATGGCCCAACATGTCTGGGCTGGTGACTAAACAAACCACCCACATCCACCCACCCAAACAGGCTTGAAATTAAAGGATTCTATTTCAGACTGATGCTAAGACGCCAAACAGACTCGCCGGTGAGTACTATACCCATGTATGAATCCTCAACTCATAAATGGCCTGCCAAAGAGCAAAATCTTGAACGCGTATGCCCAAGTCAATCCCTCAAAGACATTGACTGGATTTCAGGCTTCAAACATTGCTAGCGCCATCGGCCTTCCAATCTCTCCGCCTGGCGCTGATGAGTTCCTCAGCTTGGCAAATCAAATTCCTTAGCGTCGACAGATGGAAACACTCCAGCAACACCAAAGTTGGAGGCCGCGCCCAGGGCGCCATCGGATCAAATTCTCCAATTTCTTTTCGGAATCTGCGGGGATCCGAAGGCAACCAGCACGGCACGCCATGTTGACACAACCTGCACATCGACTGTTTCCATCTGGAGGTACAACGGCGATCCAGCGGCTGGGCGGGCAGCAATGGAGTAGCTTGCGGCAAGATCTACCATGTAATCAGCACAATGTGTCTCCGAGACAATGGCTCAGCCAACCATCATCCCCAAAAGTCTTTTCAACTTTGGTGATGTTGAAAGTATATATATATAATATATGTAAATATATGTAATAAGATATAATAAGGATATAAATAATAAAAAGGTTCCAAAAGCATCCATTTACGGATCCAGAAAGGGATGAAAGGTCAGGAGTCTGATCAAAACCAGGACATCTGGAACCTACTAGGAGGCTCAGTTGACCTTAAGGCTTACATCGGAATATGCATGTCACCAAGTCACCAAGAAATCTGTGGCTGCCCAATGCCAAGCGCTGGCATTAACATGAACGAATTGGCATGACATCGGCCCGTCAGCACTGATCTCATGCCCTGCTGGATTTGACCTACAGCAGTTCTATTTCGGCAGCCTCCTAGGAGAAAAAGGCGGGAAATCGTTGGAACATGTTGGAACAATTTCCAAGATCCTGAAGAAATATGAAGAAATGCTTGGCGCACACCAATTCCTGGAGGTGCCAATTCGACGCCCTCAATCCGTGAACATAAAGTCTTCAACCTTCTCCTGGATCCGGTGTTGCCAACGGCTGGGGTCCCCTCTGCTGGTACAGCCTGCGAAGATTACAGCATGTTTTTCGGCGCCAACCACGTGCAATTTATGCGTAGTTGATCATAGTTAGATGTATCTACTAAAATATTACGTTTTAAATTTTAAAAACTATCCTTTGACATTGGCACGCAGACCGTGATAAGCGTGAATATATATATATATATATATAATATATATATGATATGGTTGATGTCCAATCTCATTCAAAAACAGTGAGTCACATAAATATCATCACCACCCTGCAGAAACATCACCTGGCAGCATGCGCTGTCCGACCTTGTTCAAGTTGTAAAACCTCTTCATCTGGAAATTCATCACACTATCCCAACACTTCTCTGCTGCACGCAGATTGATTTGCACCTGGCTGCCAACAACCCTGGAACCCCAAGAAACACATGAATTGATTGGGACAATGACATGGGCCAGGGAACATGACAAGTCAGCACATGCTCGCACTTGTTGAGGCAGCAGTTGCAAAATGTTGCAAAAGTGGGCTGACCTCTAGATGATCGTAAATCTGCGACCAGTCTGCTACAGCAACAACCGACAGCTCACTGCCCATGCGAGACATCGCCTTCTTTCCTTCTGGATCGATCTTGAACGTGCATTGGTCCACTGCAAGGGGACCCGGAAAATTTTCTGCGAAGGCACTCCTTGGTTCCAGCCAGAGGGGACGCACAAATTCGAACCCCTTTGTGTCAAGTGCAGGGATGCTCCAGTAGTTGTACCGTAATTAGCTGGCAATCGAAACTATGGATGAATACTGTAGATTGTAGATTATTATAGACTCATGGCTCTTAGTCCAATATTTTCCCAAAGTTGGGATTGTCCATTGCCATGTTGAATTACAAGAGGGTAATCCCGGCTTTCGCTAGTGGAACCCCCATCGAATTCCCACAAGGCGACGAGGATCCATGAGTAGCCCTGCATGTCAATGGCCCGCACGATGACTCTTGCTGGCTTGAAATCAACCTCCGGGCTGGATGTAGTACAAATCCAAAGCATCTCGAAGGTTCATCCAACACCAGCTTTGCTGCTGGGCGCTTGTTTTAAGTATTAGGTATGGTTAGGTATCATCATGATATTTGATGCTTTTTCTCAAAAAGTGATCCTGTCAGGATCCTTCCACCCTGTGGCCAAGGGTGGTCAAGGTTCCCTGCTTTTCTCCGTGATACTACGGCACTTACCATTTGCAAATGAGGCTCACGAATGGGCATGACCTCATTCAGACTCAATCTGAGCCAATCCCTATTAATAATAAGTTGTTTGAGCCATTCCGTCAGCCAGTCTCAGCCCTTCCGAACCTCACCTGAACGTCGCGAAAAGCAGTGCCATAAGAGAAGAAATGCTGCGGCGTAATCGTTATTCGCAATGTCATCTTACCACTTTTGGCGGGTGAAACCGCTGCCGCTCGCAACGTCGGCGTTTTGGCGTCCTACAGTAGCGACAAATCTTGCTACCCATGTGATCCAATGAAGGATAAGCCATGTGTACCTGTGAATCATGTTGCAAAATGTTACAAACACTAATGTGAATTTGAATCCAGGACCAAAAATGTTATGCCACCTTCAACCAGCCAGCAGGAGCAGGTGTCCTTTTCCACCATCACTTCGTCCTGTTTGTCCTGTCAAGACACACTCAAGGGACAGTGATGGACAGTGGCAATCTGGCCCAAAGCGCTAAATTTGTCGCACACTGCAAACTGTCTGGTGGCTTCAACCCACCCCATAAGAATCTTGGGGATAATCATTCAGCAAATCCTGGACTATGATGTCTATATGTTTAAAATTGTTTAAAGGCATTAATCCACCAACCGGTTTGCGCATCCTGTAGGCCAATATGTGAATCTCATCAAGCGGTTGTCACACCAGTCGCATCAGTGACTGCCCCTGTCCTTGACATGCGGCTCCAGGCAGATCTTGTCATGGGGACTGACTTTCTGCTTGCGGGGTTCTATATCCTGGCCGCGAAATGCGAAAGTCTGCCTGGGTTGGCTTGGAAGCTCTGGCTGGGTCATGACGTTCGCTTAAACTGCTATTTCTATGCGCGGAAACAGAACGTATCATCTGATGGAAATATATGTGCTTTAAATTAAAGAACACTCATTACTTCAGCACAGAATACGACACCGCAAATGGCTGCAACTGACCCATACCATTCCAAGGGGACCATGAGTTGGCCCATGTTGGGCTCTGACGAAAGTGGTGAGAATGGCTCCGTTTCGTTCAAAACACTGACGCAGGATTTCCTTTATGAACCCTCTCTGATCAGCATAATCAGAACTGAGATTGATCACACATTGGCAAGTTTAAAGACTGTCCTTCTCCACTTCTGTCGCGTTCACATGTTGATTCTCTTGCCAACTGTCAAGGAATATCTTTGCTGATGGGGCACTTGGCTATCACATGGAGTCCGAATCTAGGGACCTAGGGTAGTATCCGGACATTTTGAGTTTCGTTCATCTTATCCAACATTTCTCAACAATGCGCAACAGCTGAACGCTTCCGCATACGGATATGATACATTCGGAGTGTATCAATCTTCAATCTTTAATGACGATGATGCCCCTTCTGTTGGGATCATCTTGGTTCGCAAGGTGCATGATGTGCCCAGCCAAAGCGTTGAAGTTCTTCACCTTGGGCAACTGATGAACTTGAGCGTAGGTGTTCATTGCAGACCAGATGTCATGCATCGCCGGAGTCTCCGAATCACTTGGCAAAAGGTCCGCAGACCGAAGTATCTTCAGAACAGCAGGTGTGGATTTACCACCTGGTTGCCAGCGTCCAGGACAGGAATCTGACAGGAAGGCTGTTCTCAGCTTTGCAGCCGCCCCAGATGTTGTCTCATGCGCATCCAAGTTTCCGCAGTTGCACCTTGTTGGCAGCGGCATTCCGGAAGCAAGTCAACGCCTCGGTAAAGTCAGTGTTCCAAGAGTCATCAAGATAGCCGAGCTTGCGCAAGGATTTCGCAACCAAATCTTTAGAATCCCATAACATGAATGGACCTCCGCCTCGAAAATTCTCCATACGGTCCATACGAGCTTGCTGCCGAAAGTTTTGATATTGGACTTGCTGACTCTACCTGATCTGGACGGGAAGAAAAATGCTAGGTCTTGCGTTTTCGAGATCCATTTCCGAGATTCTTGCCGAATAGCATGGTCCAAAGATAAAACAGCAAAAGGCAAGGGGAAAATGGTCAATGAACCCAAACCATTCGTAAACCAGAATTTGGAAATTCTTTGAATTGGATATGCACCAGACGATGAGAATGAAGCTGTACAAATTTGGTCCTTCAACAGGCTCTCAAATGAGTCGTACACTCCCTCAGTGTGAGAACGTTTGGCCACTGAATCAAAGGCTTCCCCAAACTCAACTGTTCCTTGGCCATCAGAGCGGAGAAGTGCTCTAATCTTCGTGAATCTTCCCTCAGGAAGCAGGGCATCAATCTTTTGGCTATGCCTGCTTTTGGAAGGCATAGCCAAAAGAGGGATGCCCTGCTTCCTGTAAAAATTCACCACTGATGTACTCCGATTGGACACGAACACGAAAAATTGCCGCTTCTGGGAAATGACATCCTTAATGGCACTGGCAAAGCCCTTGTCATTGGTCAACAAAGCTATGCACTCACTGCTTGGGGACTTGGCACTCTCTAGCATTTCAGCGATGATAGCATCATCATTCGGCTCTGCTGCATGATTCTTTGAACGTGGAACTGGAACGAAGGAAATATCAGGCTGCTGCAATAGCACTCTCATCTTCTTGTTATTGATGCGTCCCGGGGCCGCATAAATGAGCGTGTGTAAATGAGTAGACTTCTCAGCCAAGAATGCCACTGCGTCACGGATCTGACTGCAGCCAAAGTGGTCCCCATCCACTAAGAGTTTGATCTTTCTGACCTCAAAAGGCAACGAATCACCCTTTTGCACCCGAAGTCGACGACTCTTGGCCCATCGCTTCATGCATATTGCGGGGACGAGAAATGCAACCCATCGAGACGCATATGGACGATCGCTTTTCCAAGTCCTATAGCCAGTTCCAGTTCCAGAGAGAGCAGGCATGGACATGATCACCTGTCTCGAGAGACTGAAACCACTTGGTCTGTTGACGTACATGATCGTACATGGCTACGAAGCTGTCTCGGGCAGGCATTTGCTTAGGGCCAGTGAATGCTGCTCTCGGGCATGGTCTTGCGTTTTCGAGGTCCATTTCCGAGATTCTTGCCGAATAGCATGGTCCAAAGATAAAACAGCAAAAGGCAAGGGGAAAATGGTCCCAAACCATTCGTAAACCAGAATTTGGAAATTCTTTGAATTGGATATGCACCGGACGATGAGAATGAAGCTGTACAAGTTTGGTCCTTCAACAGGCTCTCAAATGAGTCGTACACTCCCTCAGCGTGAGAACGTTTGGCCACTGAATCAAAGGCTTCCCCGAACTCAACTGTTCCTTGGCCATCAGAGCGGAGAATTGCTCTAATCTTCGTGAATCTTCCCTCAGGAAGCAGGGCATCAATCTTTTGGCTATGCCTGCTTTTGGAAGGCATAGCCAAAAGAGGGATGCCCTGCTTCCTGTAAAAATTCACCACTGATGTACTCCGATTAGACACGAAAACGAAAAATTGCCGCTTCTGGGAAATGACATCCTTAATGGCACTGGCAAAGCCCTTGTCATCGGTCAACAAAGCTATGCACTCACTGCTTGGGGACTTGGCACTCTCTAGCATTTCAGCGATGATAGCATCATCATTCGGCTCTGCTGCATGATTCTTTGAACGTGGAACTGGAACGAAGGAAATATCAGGCTGCTGCAATAGCACTCTCATCTTCTTGTTATTGATGCGTCCCGGGGCCGCATAAATGAGCGTGTGTAAATGAGTAGACTTCTCAGCCAAGAATGCCACTGCGTCACGGATCTGACTGCAGCCAAAGTGGTCCCCATCCACTAAGAGTTTGATCTTTCTGACCTCAAAAGGCAACGAATCACCCTTTTGCACCCGAAGTCGACGACTCTTGGCCCATCGCTTCATGCATATTGCGGGGACGAGAAATGCAACCCATCGAGACGCATATGGACGATCGCTTTTCCAAGTCCTATAGCCAGTTCCAGTTCCAGAGAGAGCAGGCATGGACATGATCACCTGTCTCGAGAGACTGAAACCACTTGGTCTGTTGACGTACATGATCGTACATGGCTACGAAGCTGTCTCGGGCAGGCATTTGCTTAGGGCCAGTGAATGCTGCTCAAAGGAACTCCCAATTCAATGAAAACGATTCACACATATTCACAAAAATGGCTTCACATGCAACATATTGTGACACTGTGTGCAGTAAATCGCTTACAATATCTTACAATCACTTGAGACCAACAGATCCTGACAGGGTCCTAGATTTTTTGTTGGCCCCAGTATGACCTCCAACCTGCCTGGCCCCCAGTGTCTTCAAAGGTCCTGAACATGTGATTCTTCGGATAACTTGTCCGACTTCTGGGCCCTGACTTTCTGCTTGCGGACAGCCTCCTGGCGAACCAGAAATGTTTGGCTGTAGTCCTAGCTTTGTGACCTTGGCTCGGAGCAGAGATGAAGGCATAAGGTGAAACGAATGCATTGCCTCTCTCAAATGAAATTCTATCGAACCAGACGTGCAATAAATTTGAAGCTACGCATCGATCATGGGTTGCTGCCAGTGTCCTTCTCCATTTCTGCTCCCTCGTCGTAGTGCCGGTCCTGCCACTGGGTCAACGGTGCCCTTGGGGATCATCTTGCCCAAGGGACAAAAATTAGCAAATATATATATGATTCAACATGTCTGGAACCACCAGCCAATGTCGTACGATTTGCAGTTGTATAACTTGTATATTCCTTGGGTTTCTATATGTTTCAATCCATCTCCACCAGTTGGGGGCGTATCAAATTCCGGTTTCAAGGGTCCGTCCTTGGGAGGCTTGGGGTAGAGGCATTCCATGCAGCTCTCAGGCGTCACCAACCCGGGTTTCACTGGAGCCTTGCGACTGGTCCTGCGTCAATGGCGGATGGGCCCCAACTTTACGGCAACTTTTCTCGTGTAACTGATGATAAGCTCTCCAGATTTTTGGGGGTACACCAGGTTCAATCAAACCACATGAACCCAGAACAAGGGAGTTGGAAGATGGTTGTCCTGCTGGAAGTTGCAATTGTCAATTGTTTGATTCAATGTTTTCTTTGGCTGCTAACGATGTCTGATGAACCCAGTCTCCAGATTTATACACAAAAAATCGCGAAATCACATAAATTTGACCAGGTGCTGGGTGAAATTGCTAAAACGGCTAAAGCATGTGGACACCCATGCGTTCAGCAAAACCAAAAGCTGAGACTTTACATTCACTGAACCTCGAAATATTCACTTTATGCTTTATAGTTTAAAACATCAATATATGGGGGTTGTCCAAAATACCTTTTCCCGGACAGCCCTCAATCGCTCAGCCAATCGCGTAGCAACCGCGGTACCACAGTGAGCAATCGCGGAAGGGATTGTTCTTCGTTGATCAGATCATATACATAAAATATAAGTTATGTATTATATAATGAGGATCCATGCGTGAACGCATTCGATTTCAAATTTGGGAACAAAATAAGCTCGCGCGGTCCGGAAACTGTCCGGAAAACTCACAGTAGTACCAGCAGCAGTAGTACTAGTAGTACTAGTAGTACTAGTAGTACTAGTAGTACTAGTCGTACTAGTCGTAGTAGTAGTAGTAGTAGTAATAGTAGGAGGGGTAAGAGTAGGAGTAGGAGTAGGAGTAGGAATAGGAGAAGGAGTTCTAGTAGCAGGGCAAGGGAAGAAAGGGAGAGGGAGGGAAAGAGAGAAAGAGAGAGAGAGAGAGGGAGGGAGGGGGAAACAGATGGTTGCGTTTGACCGGTTTCTGACGGGTTTCTGACTGGTTTCTGACTGGTTTCTGACTCGTTTCTGACCCTTCAGCGGAACTCATGTCAATTGGATTTAAAAGCAAGAGCAGAAATTCCTAGGTGTACTAGTGGTAGTGGTGGTGCAGTAGCAGCGGGTGTGGTGGTAGTACTAAGAGTAGTAGCAAATCTAGTAATGAGAGTAAGGATCCATGCGTGAACGCATTCGATTTCAAATTTGGGAGCAAAATAAGCTTGTGCGGTCCGGAAACGGTCCGGAAAACTCACAGCGCACTAGCAGTAGCAGTAGCACTAGCAGTAGTGGTAGTGGAAATTGGAATAGGAGTAGGCGTAGGAGTTCTGGTAGGAGGGTGAGGGAATAGGCAAGGGAGAGAGAGAGAGAGGGTGCGTTTGGAGTAGGAGTAGGAGTAGGAGTAGAAGTAGGAGTAGGAGTAGGAGTAGGAGTAGTAGTAGGAGTAGTAGTAGTAGTAGCAGTAGTAGCAGTAGTAGCAGTAGTAGTAGCAGTAGTAGTAGTAGCAGGAGTAGTAGTAGTAGTAGTATTAGTAGCAATGATAAGAGCTGAGGTGGATGGATGGATGGATGGATGGATGGATGGATGGGATGCTAGGCAAGTGCTGCCTTTTTGGTGTTTCTGACCTGTTTCTGACCTGTTTCTGACATGTTTTCAATTGGAGCTAGCTTGAATGTCCTTCTGACCTGAAAACATCTGCGCGGATTCCGCGCGCGCGGAATCCGCGCGGCCATGTCAATTATTGGCATGGTTCTGGTCTCGAAAGTAGTAGTAGTAGTAGTAGTAGTCGTAGTCGTAGTCGTAGTCGTAGTCGTACTAGTAGTAGTAGTAGTAGTAGTAGTCGTCGTCGTCGTAGTCGTCGTAGTAGTCGTAGTAGTCGTAGTAGTCGTAGTAGTCGTAGTCGTAGTCGTAGTCGTAGTAGTAGTAGTAGTCGTAGTAGTAGTAGTAGTACTAGCAGTACTAGTAGTAAAAGTAGTACGAGGAGTAGTAGTAGTAGTAGTAGTAGAAGTAGTAGAAGTAGTAGTAGTAGTAGAAGTAGTAATAGTAGTAATAGTAGTAATAGTAGTAATAGTAGTAATAGTAGTAATAGTAGTAATAGTAGTAATAGTAGTAATAGTGGTAATAGTAGTAATAGTAATAGTAGAAGTAGCAATGATAAGAGCTGAGGTGGATGGATGGATGGATGGATGGATGGATGGATGGATGCTAGGCAAGTGCTGCCTTTTTGGTGTTTCTGACCTGTTTCTGACCTGTTTCTGACCTTTCCCGGAGTCTTCTTCAACTTCAAAAAAATCAGCACGGGCAGCCAAACTAGGAACAATTTTAGTGATCGTCAAAGTAATATCATTACTAGTGCCCCAAATACTAGTACTAGTGCTACTACTAGTAGTAGTAGTAACAGTAGGAGGAGGAGGAGTAGTAGAAGTAGTAATAGTAGTAATAGTAATAATAGTAGAAGTAGCAATGATAAGAGCTGAGGTGGATGGATGGATGGATGGATGGATGGATGGATGGATGGATGGGATGCTAGGCAAGTGCTGCCTTTTTGGTGTTTCTGACCTGTTTCTGACCTGTTTCTGACCTGTTTTCAATTGGAGCTAGCTTGAATGTCCTTCTGACCTGAAAACATCTGCGCGGATTCCGCGCGCGCGGAATCCGCGCGGCCATGTCAATTATTGGCATGGTTCTGGTCTCGAAAGTAGTAGTAGTCGTCGTCGTCGTCGTCGTACTCGTACTCGTACTCGTACTCGTACTCGTAGTAGTAGTAGTAGTAGTAGTAGTAGTAGTAGTAGTAGTAGTAGTAGTAGTAGTAGTAGTAGTAGTAGTAGTAGAGTAGTAGTAGTAGTAGTAGTAGTAGTAGTAGTACTAGTAGTGGTAGTAGTAGTAGTAGTAATAGGGTGGTAGCCGTATAACCAATCGCCAACCAATCGCTCAGCCTATCGCGATGCAGGTTTTAGCAATCGCGCAAAGCAAAGTAAACGCATCAATTCATAAATTTGTGACCTGCTTTTACGGACGGCTCCCATATAAATAAATAAATAAATATATATATATCTGTATATATATATATATCTGCATATATATAAAATATACGCATATATATATATATGAATAATATGAATATTATATATATATTATAAAAATAGATATTAAATATTACAATCAAAAAAATACTGTATATACTATATATTATAATATATGTGTTTTTAAATTATATATATTATATATATAATGTTTATTATTAAAAATTAAAAATGATATATTATAATGATAAAAAATATATTTTATATATTTTATATTATCTATTATGAATTAAATAATATATATTATATATTCTATATTAAATATTATATATATATTCTATATTTGAAATATTTTAAAAATATTGCATATTAAATATTAAACGTTTAAGAAAATAATTATATACAATATATATATATATTAAATAATAAAACAACTGATATGATAAGCTATATATCACATTTGCAAAATATTGTGTATTTTAAATTAAAACATATTAAAACAATATATTATAGAATTATAGAATAAATGTTATATATTATGTTATATATTAAAAATAATATATATATATATATATTTATGATATATTATTGTATTAAAAAAACTGAAATATTTTGTATTATATATATGATATATATCATTTAAATTAAATATATATTAATATATTGCCAAACGTGATATACATGTAGTTTAAAAAACAAACCAACCAGTCCAGCGAATCAACCTGTATAATCCTGTATAATCATACGTACGCAATGATGCCTATATAATCACAATTTAATGCATACTGTACCATGTGGCACACCCAATGCCATAAGCCTGTGATTCTTCACGGTCTCTCTTCAACCCATATCTGGCAAAATTGAGGATGGTTTATGGCTTTGGCTTGCCACCTTTGGAACCAAATCATATATCTAATCTATGATTGCCCTCTGGAAATGACCAGCATATAATTATATAACACCGACGAGTTTTAAGAGGCAATTCCTCCGCAAACAGGACATGTTCCGTTGCAAACTCTTAGCTTAACCCTATCTATCCCTCTGTATCCACCATATGATTGGCGCTTCAACACATGAAGATTATTCTGGTTGGTTATTACTAGGATTTTCGTAGATTTCACGTATATAATGGATTGTGATAATCCTCTATCTATTGAGTAAGATAATCGCTACAATCATCAACCAAGCAACAATGGATTTGAACACTGCTCATATCATAGATAGATATATATATATATGTATATATATATATGTATATATATATATAATTATATATATATATAAATAATTATATATATAATTATGTATATATATATATATGAAAATACATATATACATATGTATACCCATGTGATGGTTGGTTTGATCCCCGAAGATTGGTATTTCAAGCCATTAACAAACATCGTTGCATGAAATGCCCATGACATCCCCATTAAGTCCACATTAAGTTCCATGAAATTCCCATGAAGCCCAATTGAATCCCATTAATAAATTAACGCGGGTAAAACAATATCATAAACAACCCATTTGGGAATGATTTATACCACCTGTAAAAATGGTGATTTGGAGGCTTATGATTGTTTTACCCAGCGCGGCCAAGGTGCGGCCAAGGTTGGGGCACCAGCCCTCCATTTTTAGATGATTTATAGCGTTTCATAGTGGGAATTAATGGGATACTGTGGGAAATGGTGGGGATCAATGGGATTCAACGGGATATATATATATAATATAATAAGATATAGCATAATGGATCCCATTTACCATCCCCGCAAGCAACAGCTTGACCATGAGAATCACTACGTGTGAAAAAAAAAACCTTTCCGCATATGTCTATGTTACTTTGGGGGATGGTACATGGTTCTTTTGGATAGAAAGGTGGGTCCTGAAATGATATGCATATTGAGATTAGACTCAAAAGACCATAAATTGTTGAATGCTTAGGATGTAGTACCGAATGAACCCATTTCTGTTCAATAGATTTGAGGGAAAATGGTGCGGATAGTCATGTATTTTGCCACCCCTGTGGAGGTTTCCAGTCAATTTTCTCTTCAGCCAGTTCTGGTGATTTTTGCCTGCTTATATAGTTGGCGTACGTTCAACTTTTTTGGCCCAATTATTACGGATTGATGTAGGAAAAATAATCCGAACCCAAACGTGCGTTCCTTTTTGGGATGATTTAATGAACACTTTAGGAAACCTTGGTTTTTATCAGTCAATAAGCATGTGTAAGTCGTAAGTGGAAATCCCTATATATGGGTTTCCTATGGTTTCTGTACAGCTTCAATGCAACCAGTTCAGGGGTTGGGCCCTTCAAGTGACAAATCGAATCCCTTTTGCATCAAATCTTTGGGCAACGCAAGTGTGAGCCTGAAAAACAAACAAAGCCAAGTCAAATGTAGAATTAGCAGCTGTGAGCAAGAAATCTGAAAACTGTACTTAGCACTGATCGCTTACCTTGATCTGGCTTGGAGATTCCCTTGAAGAACCTTGAAATTCCACAGGCCTTACGGCCTTAGCTAGCCTGGACTGGACTGAGGAGTTCACACAGCAATTTCAGTGCGTTTACACTCTGGCAATCCAACTGGGGAATGGAGGCCGTTCATTTTGTATCGCACTGGACTCCAAAAATTGCCTTCCCATTTGACATGAACATTGCCCTTTCCCATTATGTTTCGCCAAAGGGCATCAAACAAGTTAAGCAAGTCACGAGCCAACTCATCTGCAGTCCTGACGTCCCGCTTCCAGTGTGACTGTATTTCCACTGCTGGTTCCATCTGGTTGTTGGTGCCTGGCGCCACACATTTTCTGCTACTCCAACGATCCGACTGCAAATGACAACTGGGTTGCCTCCCATGGATTGGTTGGTAAGCTGGATTGACTGGGTTAGCTGCATGATCTCTTGTGAACTATCCCACTTGCTTTCGTCATTATCAGGTGGGCGATCGGCGAAACCTCAATTGAAAAATGTGATTTTTGGTCAAAGTTATCGTTTTGGGAGTTCACTATATCATTTTATAGTATATATATATATCCTGGTTGCACCATTTGCTTCCCCTTGCGAAATGGATGGAGGAATACTTTTTACACCTTCACTTCAGCAGCTGCAGCGTCTTTGACTGCCTTATGCTTTCTTTTGCAGCGCTCCAACTGTGGTATGGTATGATACCTGCCAGTGCAACTGCAAATCACAGTTGCACCGTCCTGTCTCAAGCTCAGAAACAAGTTTTGAATTCAGTTTGTTGGAAGAAGCCCGGATGAGCTCTCACAGTGACATGCTCCAGGCCTTTCACTGGCCAGCGTCTGCGTAGCTAAGCCAAACCATCGACATGGTCCAATGCCTTGGCTTTCCTCATCTAGCATAAAGATCGTCAAACTGCAGCTCCCTGACTGGTGGCAGCTGTCCACGAAATCGGCCCACGTGTGCAGCCTGGCCAAGTCAATGAGATCATCAGAAAATACCGAATGCTCACGGGCCCCGTGGACAGCTGCCACCAGTCCCAGACCTGCAGGTGCAGTTTTACGATCTGTGTGCCCGAGATGAACCGAGATGGACTAAAGCGATGGGGCGCTGCAAGAGAATATGCATAGCAGCGAAAAGGTCGCAATAAGCAAGTGACAATATTGAAGGGCAAAGAATCATCTCAAGAATCTTTTCACACCTGGACCATCCATCAGCGAAGGACATTTTGTCAAGAAATGCTTTTCGTTTCGTTATCATTTTCGTCATTGTTCAAAGCAGGGTACATTTTTAGGAAAATGGCGTGAACCAAAGAAAGTTGGAAAGGATACCTGTTGTCATCGTCACTGCTTGCATGAAAGCATAAAAATACAACACGTTCATCCGGAGGGCTTGAGCGATGGCGAGACCAAAAGAACATCCAAATCCAGCTAGTTGCCACATAACAGTCATAATGTGATTGGACGCAAAACCGTTTGCAATAATCAGAAATAAAGAAATTGGCCAGGATCAAGAGTGTCAGCATATTTTTGCACATCTTCTGTTGTGTCAGCTGGGTGTGACGTATACCGTATACCCCACAACTGAGAGCCTAGATGATCTAGATGTTTCTAGAACAGGTATCCACCATCATGTCATGAATATCACCCCTTCACATCCCAGCATGCTTTCACATATGAACTAATTCCCATTGTTATCGTTTTTGGGAGTTCACTATATCGTTTTACATATCAAGATGCATGTTTTTACATGCAAAGTCGCTCGAATACATACCTCCTACACGGAGAGTTTAGCCTCTCTCAGGTGTTCTCAGTCAACATTAGCCCATTTGCTAGCCGCATATGCACTAACTTGCTGGGGTATAATTTCCTATTGAATTCAATAATATCTTTCTGTTTTGGGGGGTATGTCGAGTATTAACCCAACTTCCGGTCATCAATCAATTTTGAAAACCCAGCCAGAAGCTGTGGTTTCGTATTAGGTCCATTCAAATGGAGGCCTATATAGACAATTTCAGATACATAGGGTAATTACATAGGGTAAGGGAGTAGGCTCCACGAATCCACAACCATCAACCAGCCTCAACTTGTGTATATCCTCACTTGGAGCTATTTGACATGCTAATTCTTTTTGCAACTCCCACATGCTTTGCGGATGCTTGTTTAACAATGTTGAAGTATTGGATTGACAATATTTCTTTCATAGCCCCCGTTCTTAACCGGCATATATATATATTAATATAAACATGCATATACATTATAAACATCGATAACGTTGCTGCTTCTTGGTTGGTTGATACAAACGCTGCCACCGAAAAGGCATTGTGGATCCCACCGCCAATCATAGTCATGTCATGTTCCAGATCCTCCAGGTCTGGCCTAAATGGCCAAAGGCCGACTGCACTTGTGCAGTCTCCGGGCTCCCCTCAGATCCTGACGGAACCATGACATCCAGCATGGGAACATCAAATCTCCTTGGATGTCATGGTCTTTTAGTGGGTGTTCATGGTGCGTAACTGGGAACATGTTGCATCACACCATGAAAAACTGGGCTTTAATCATTTCACCAATGAATAGTGTATTCGGATGTATCTGAACATGGGGTATACGACTAATTTAAGGCTGTCAAATAAGAGACAAAATGGTGATGACCAATGGATGGAATGGAGTGCCTTATTTTCAGACAGATCCAAATTAGGGCAAATGAAATGTTACAGAAATCTTTCCCCCTCTCTCTATCTCTCGCCATCGCCTTCAGACCAAGTCTGCCTCAGCCTAACTGAGGGGCGAGACAAAGGCGCCAAAATGTTCTGTAACCTGTCCCTTCAACCGAGTGTGGGAAGAACACAATGTTTCCCTTCAAGCAAGTCTAAAATCGCACATGGATGAGTCAGAATTTCAACGACTTTCCGCATGAGTTTGTCTGGAAACATGGTAACAAATATCTCCCACTGGCAATTTTCACGGTGACATTGATGAGAACCTGGGAAATTCTGTTGTGACAAATCTCTCCCCACTGGCACTGATTCCCCGGAGCACCTGGACTTTCCTCGCCCAGGGGCAGCAGGAAGTCCTGCACTGGGGACAGCGGGCTACCGGTTTGGACTTTGAGTAGTGAAACCAGGGATGGGATTACTTTTGCAGGATGTATTTCAGATTAGATAGAGAGAGAGAGAGACAGATAGACAGGCAGAGCGATAGGTACATCAGTACATATATAATTAATTCATTAGATAGATAGATAGATAGATAGATAGATAGATGGATGGATGGATAGTTAGACAGATAGATAGATAGATAGATAGATAGGTAGGTAGATAGGTAGATAGGTAGATAGGTAGATAGGTAGATAGGTAGATAGGTAGATAGGTAGATAGGTAGATAGGTAGATAGGTAGATAGGTAGATAGATAGGTAGATAGATAGATAGATAGATAGGTAGATAGGTAGATAGATAGGTAGATAGATAGATAGATAGGTAGATAGATAGATAGATAGAGAGAGAGAGAGATAGAGAGAAAGAGAAAGAGAAAGAGAAATCAGAGCCTCAACCACCTTTCGATCCGTCAGTTCGCTCTGCCATGCATGCGTGACAACAACCAAACTCTCCTATAAGGTTTCCTATCTTTGAAACTCCCGCCACCGCCTTGCGCGGTACTGGTAATTTAACAGTTTGCTATACTGTAGATTACTGTAGATCAAAAAACGAGCCAGATTCCTCCATTTACCATGTCTATGTTAAATTACCAGATTGTATCCTGTATCTGTCATGCCAAGCGGGATTTCTCCCCGGTCATCACCATCGTCCAGGACCCGTTCCTGGAGACTCTTCGGTGGAGCAGTGAGCAACCGCTGCGCATACTCAACGGCCATCTCCTGTGTTCAGAGGCTCGGCGTCCAATGAAGTGGAGTCTTGTTGTGATTTCCCATCATTAGACTTCATTGATTGAAAACAAATTATGGCTATATATATGTATATAATAGTAATGATGTATGACGTTTGGTCGTTTATTTCAACCATCATGTTCGATTCTGGCTTTGGTTTTACCACCAATATCAGGGACAAGAATCTCAAAGTTTCAGGGGATCAATAATCCCCTCTGCTGGTGTGTAGCATCAGTGAGCCCTAACCCCAACTTCCAGGGTGGACGTTGGAGTGAGCCCCACCAAAGGTGCCTTCACGAAGTCGCTGTGCATCACGCTTTCCACACTTAGTGACGCGATATACGCGACCGCTGATGTGGCTGATGTAAATAAACCAAACCATTCGAGGTAGCCTCCGGTGTCATCAAAAACTGGGTATTTCACTGGGTCACTCATCCAAGTAAATGAAGAGCTTTCCTGGATGGCTGTTTGAACTGAATGGATAATCATTTGTGCCATGCTGCCATGGTAAAGCCCTGGTAATTATATAGGGTATATCGTCCTCCGTCCCAGATCTACCCAAGTGTTGCTTACTTTATAGCACAATGCCTTTCAACACTCACGGACCAACAACTTTCATCACGGTGTGAAACCTTTTGCTGCATTGGCCTTTATTCCGTCCGCAAATACGACCAACAACGATCATCACTATTTAGAATACACACCATATGTCTTCCACTTCCGCACACATATGATCACATATGCATAATGACATTATCATAACTATGAATGAATGTGCTCATATCTCCCATTCATCATGGTCGGAAGACCTGAAAATTCTAGATTGCCATCAAGCTCACGAACAAAAACCCGTGGAATCCGGTGAGTGACTAATAAGTCCGACTAACACTGGTTCATAATGGTTAATCATGACTAATGCTATATTATGCTATATTGATAAAAGTTATATGATGTTATATGCTGGAAAAGGAAGGAAGAAATCCAAGAAACATCTTGTCACTCTTTCCTGCAGCTTCGTTCCTCAGCAACGCTGGCACCTGACACCACCTTTGGAAATTTCCATCAAAAAGTTGCGTTCCCACTTCAAAAACCGAACACTATATCCAAAATGACCAGCTTGGTCCAATATGCATGCTTTTATTTGAGCACGGTATGACATCCCGCATGTATTTATCAATGTTCGATTGATATCAGCTTCATGTTCATTTGTATGTCTATTTAGACCATGTGGGTCTGCGACCATTGAATTTAATCTTACCCAAGCTCGGCCTACTCACACATGATGAATGGAACAGCCCATCCTCAATGACAGCTTCATTCTTCCAAGGGATCTTTGTGCAAATGCGGCTTGGCCCTCCCCTCTTTTCTATGCATAACAACATAAACAAACCAAACATGCAAATTGAAAAGTGGGATCATGGATATCCGTTCGTAAAAATGCTTAAAAACTGCGCCCGTGGTCCAAGTCTTGCCAATGTGGAGAAAAATAAAGGTGGGCCAAGATTGCCCAGCGTTTGGCACCTATTGCCATAAACACAAATCAACCTCTGGTTAACTCTTTGCAGAGCCCTGGCCAACCGAATCCCCATTTTTTTCGCGATTTCTTTCCGGCCGTGCGGTCACACCCCACTGAGAATCGCACGCAGCTTCGCCATGGACATCGACATTCTCAGAGATCTCTTTGGATTCAGTGTCTCCTAATGCGTTAGTTGGTCTGAATAGTTTGGCTCTTCTTATCTTCCCTTCAAAAAAAATAAGACGGGGAAAATCATTCCAGACACAGAAGAGGTCCTTCGGCGGCTTCAATTTCGAGTTTTTCCATCGCGGGTCCTGACACCAGGAATTGAAACAACATGGTCTCGACATGTCGCAACCATGTCCTATAGAGTCTTGAAGCTGCAAAATATGCACAGAACGGATTTAGCCAAAAACTTCGGGTCGACTTGAGGAATAAAAAACATTAACACTTGCAAAAACCATCAAGAAACGATCGTTTTTTACCACTATATTACAGTACCTGTTGTGGAGGACCTCTTGAAGAATTTTTTTAGCAAACCGGACGGTTTGCATCTCTTGGCTATGCAGTGATTATTCCAGGCGGCGGTTTTTTTGACCTGCAGCTTCACCACTATACAGAGCCTATCCTGCCAATGCTCCCTTGAACAGTGCTCCTCCGTCAAAGGGGCGTCCCCCAAACCACGGAGGCATTAGCTCGACCTCGCAGAAATGAAAAACCCAAGGGGAAGACCTGGTGGTGTTACTTCCATTGTTTTGTTTTTATATTTTTTTAAATGTTTACCCCCGAAAATCCGTAGCCAATTGTCCGGATATGCGTACATATAACTACCTACACTACACAAGTACATATATTGCATATATATATATATATGTGTGTGTGTGTGTATCAATTAAATATATATATATACTGATACTGTATATATTATATATACGTATATATATATATATCACATCTTATATAACTCCAATAAGAAGTGACGTGCTGATATATCCTGGACTTCACCGATCTTCACCGGCAAAAATTGGGATATCAAGAAAGGCAGTTTCACGTGTCTTGCTGAAACTCCACGCTGTACCAAAAGGTCTCATGTACATGACTATTGGAGGAGTACCCCCCTAATTAAACCATGGTTTATTAATCCAGGGTTGACATTACAAAATATTACACAATAATATTGACAATGATCTGCATTTTCCATGCCATGTCATCCCCTACCGGTCCCTCCCCAGCCCGCCTCCGGACCCTTGACCGCCACCGCTGCGTGGCGGTTCGGCGGCCGGCGGCCCCGAGCCAAGGAAGCTACGGCAAGCAGTCAGTCAGCTGTTGGATAATCAGCTATGGATCATTAAGTAATGATGATTATGGATCATCATTAATCATCATTTATAATAGGTAAATCAACTATAAATGTTGGTTTACCCGTTGATGATGATTTTGATGGATAAATCATTATTTAAAAAAAAAACATGAGAAATGTTAATGATTTATGATTGATTATGTTTAATAGTGTTGCATGATGATTGTGAAGTATCATGATTTGTAGATGTTTTGCTAATTAGAAATGATCCGCTCGTATCAGCTGGTGGTTCTGCTGTTTGTTTGTTCCCCACCTGTCAGGTGAGGGTTGTTAGATTTTATGTCAGTTGCCTCCTCCTCCTCCTCCTTCTCCTCCTTCTCCTCCTCCTCCTCTCCTCCTCCTCCTCCTCCTCGTCCTCCTCGTCCTCCTCGTCATCCTCGTCCTCCTGCTCAACTGCGACCCTCGACGCACAGTGTTCTCTGTCGGACTTCAACCACGACCATCCATGCTCAGTGTTCCCTGCCGGACCTCAACCACGACCATCCACGCCCAGTGTTCCCTGCCGGACCTCAACCACGACCATCCCCACCCAGTGTTCCCTGCCGGACCTCAACCACGACCATCCACGCCCAGTGTTCCCTGCCGGACCTCAACCGCGAGTATCCACGGCAAGTGTTCCCTGCCGGACCTCATGAGATATGCCAGATAGAAAGCCAGAAGATATGCCAGATGGAATGTTAGATAGAATGCCAGAAGATATGCCAGATAAAATGCTATGAGATATGCCAGATAGAATGCCAGAAGGTATGCCAGATAAAATGTCAGATAGAATGACACAAGATATGCCAGATAGAATGACACAAGATATGCCAGATAGAATCCCAGAAGATTTGCCAGATAATATGCCAGAAGATATGCCAGAACATATGCCAGAAGATATGCCAGATAGAATCCCAGAAGATTTGCCAGATAATATGCCAGAAGATATGCCAGATAGAATCCCAGAAGATTTGCCAGATAATATGCCAGAAGATATGCCAGATAGAATGCCAGAAGATATGCCAGAAGATATACCAGAAGATATGCCAGATAGAATGCCAGAAGATATGTCAGAATATATGCCGGAAGATATGCCAGATAGAATGCCAGAAGATATGTCAGATAGAATGCCAGAAGATATGCCAGATAGAATGCCAGAAGATTTGCCAGATAGAATGCCAGAAGATATGTCAGATAGAATGCCAGCAGATTTGCCAGTAAGAAAATGTAAAAATGTCACAGTGGGGATCACACGAAGTAAAGTATTTTTTTTTTCTCTCTCTCTCTCTCTCTATCTCTATCTCCGCCATGTGTTAAGGGATGCACAGCTGCACAACCAACCAGCTTGAATGGCCGTTTTGGATCTGTGTCACCTGCTATCCAAACACTGAAACCCAAATATAGATAGATAATGATAGATAGATATATGTGTACACATAGATATGACATATTGACATAACATAACATCAACAATTCAATACTCAGTGATGGCTACTCCTTTCTCACGGTATTCCTTCGATGGCTCATCCCAAAGCAGGCCTGAAAAAGGCAGAGAAAAGCCCCGCCACCATGTGACGGTCAACGTCCTCCATGTTCAAAGGCTCAACTGGAGCGGCCTGTGCACCTCCCCAGGCCGACAAGCTCTCACGCGAGCGTGGGCTCAGTGGCAGCATGCCTTGGTGTGGAGCTTTAAGCAGGCCCGGCTGGGAGTGGTGTGGAGCTTGGTAGCCCTATGGCCTGAAAATTCCAATGATGATGTGTTCTACAAGGTGAAGCTGCGGCGATAACATGATGTGACATACCTACACAACCAAAGCAGAGGAAACAGGGCAAAACATGCCTTCGAGACTCCATGTCTGTGTTCTCCATGTATGGCTAAAATTGAGCCCATAGCGTAAACCACTCAGCAAGGTTTCACCAGAAAAATGGCACCAGCATTTTATGACAAACCAAAGGGACCAAGACTTTGCCAGTGGTTGGCCACCATCAAGCCAAAGGCGTAGCCAGAAGGAAAGCCTGGTAGCTGGAAATTGTTTTGGACGTGGTTTCAAAACGAATGATGGCTTTTGTATTGCCAAAGCATTAGCATACCCCAAGTTTGGTATTAGAAAAGGAAGAATGTCCAAAGATGTCCAAGACTTATATAGATCTTGCTGGCAAATCATCATATACCCTCCGGTAAACTAACATAAACATGAACAATCATCATGTATAATTGGTTAATCAGCTATAAATGGGCAAATGACCATAGCTTAGATATACAGTATGTTAAATCATCATCTATATTCATATGCCCTAGGGTAAGCTAACATAAACTAACATAGATGTGGAAAAATGGTTTCTCTCGGAAAATGACTTACAAACAGTGGATCTTCCACCCTGGAAATGGTTGAGATACAGGGACCCAAGCCTCTTCGTTGGCCGCAGAGTCCTCGCCTGCGAGGATTGCGGATCCTACGTTTCTGTTGGCCCTCCAGAGGAACAGGATAAACATCAAGCTTAACTCTTTTGGTCGTTCGCCACACCTTTCAAGCACCTAAAGGTGGTGCTGAAAAAAATCATTTTACACTTCCTACATTGCTACATTACATTTGGTGCGGTACACGCAATACATAACAACTCACTTGCAATCAAAGCTTCATCAGCCAAACTTGATGGTTAAGAATCCAGAACTTTCAATGAGTCAGTTCTCCAAATCAAGACCTCAATGGTGATCCTCTCATTCCCCTCACGAGCTCTGCAAAACTATCAAGCTTAGTCAGCTTAGTATGCGATTTGTTCCACCCCTAAAAGACATTAAAACACCCAAAGAACACACACATTTTGGAACATCCTCATGGCATCTATCAGATGTCAAGTTGAGTCAAGGCCTGGCGGCCCAGCAGCGAATCAGTAGCAAAACCAGGTGGTGTGAAGGGGATTGACCTCAGCTGGGTCTGAATGGCCTGGTTTTCCATGGGAGTTGAAACATGGATTTGAAACTGGAAAGATTGGGGCTCTAAGCTGGAAAATATGATTTCTATTGATTACGATGAGTTCCTAGTTTTACAGCGATCCTTTCTGACCCATGATGGGAGCCCTCCATCAGCCAACTAGGGCCAGGGAAAATCTTGCCTGGGGTTTTGCATGTCAAGTTGTATGTCAAGTTTGAATAGGTTTGAGGGGCATTATTGTGATCCATTCCAGGAATATCTATCGACCAACCGCCAGAACCAATCCTTGAGTCTTTTTCACAGACAGGGTGCACTGGCACCTCGGGAAAGGCTAGAAATGGCTAGAAACCGCTCGACCCTTGGAACGATCACGACGACGTTGCCAGGGAAACCCTGGCGCTGGGTGACCCCTGCGCGTCGCCCGCGCCAGCACGTCGCTCTTCAGAAGCGTGGCTAAGGTCTGATCAAAGGTGACCTGCCAGAGGGCCCACATTCAGCAGCCATCAAAAGTGTCCCATTTTTTGTGACCCATTGGAAATCAACCGTGCAAGCAATTCGTCCTGGCTAAGTCAACGGTATGAATGTAGTGGTTAATATTGGTGAATGATGCTATTGCCATTGAAATGACGCATAAATAGGGTATGATAGGATCAAAATTGAATAAAATTGATAGTTCTTGCATACACCCAACTGCTGGTAGATTTGGATTTAATTGGCCATAAAAACCCCTTTAGATACATAAATGATCATAAATGGGATATGATTGGATCTCTCGGCCACAGTTAAATCACATACATATAATCATATACTTAATAGTCTATACTCTCCATAGCAACTCTCCATAGCAAGACGATCATAGGTTTTCCAACAGCTCCTTGCAACCAGCCTCCACGGCAGCATCCAGTCCAGCCTTCCTGATGGTCAGGATGACCAGTGGCACGTATATATAGCAACCCCACCAAAAAAAAACGAAAATGCTACAAGTACCATTATTTTAGTAGGATTTCAAACTTCCAAGCTTTTTTTTGGTGGTGTTGTAAAGATGTTAATTATGTGTTGTTATGTTTTCTTATGCGCTACAATATCATGAAAACCCGGATAAAACAATGACAGCACCTAGAAAGACGGTCGCGCGTGCGCGCGCGCCTCAAACGGAGTGTTGGCCGACGAGCATTGAGAGCCATGTCCTCCACGTGCCATTGACTTTCCTTGGGACCCAGCGTTTTGACAGTGGGGCACCATGGGGCACCAATGGACCTGCAAACGGCTGTTCTATGTGCAGAGTTTAGCTGAAATCCACTGAAATCCTCCAATCGGCCAAAGAGCCATATAGCTGCTATAGCTTCATAAATTAGTACAGTTCAGGACAGTAGACCCGAAACCCAGGTCAGAAGCGCATTGAAGGACTGTCACACAGACACACACACACACATCACGCATCTATTGTCATCGATCTCCGTTGAACAAGACGGTAGAAGACCACACCTTATTTGAAGCGTGAGGATTCACTTGGAAGTGTCTTGCTCACAGCTTGTGAAACCAATTTCTCAGTGAACCATGGCTCTAAGCCCGACACAGATTCCAATAGCCGACGTAACTTGATCAAGGCAGACACTGAATCTCTCCTGCAAGACAAAGCGGGGGTTGTTCACAAACAGCATCACCGCACATTGGTAACTCATTGGTCTTGGGAAAAACTGAGTCGAGCTGAACATCCAAAAATTATCAAAAAGTGGGGTGTGCTATGGTATGCTCACCTCTCATATCCTCTCATTTATTCTGAGATAGTGATGTTGGTTTCTTCAATGCTTACTGAGGGATTGTATCTCAGTCAAGTTAGCAGATGAGGTCTCAACTTCCAGTGGTTCATAGTGGTTCTAATCGTGGTTCATGGTGGTTCATTTAAACATAGTCAGTATATTCCGAGTACCTGCAGTATGGATCAGTATGGCAGTATGTCATGGGTTACATATGGGTTATATTAAGATGACTTTACATATTTTAGATAGGATAATGTAGGGAAAAAACACTCGCTGACTGGGGTTGACTTCTGCTTCGGTAAACCATGGCTCGTAAACTATGGATCGTAAACCATGGCTCGTAAACCATGGCTCGTAAACTATGGATCGTAAACCATGACTCGTAAACCATGGCTCGTAAACCATGATTCGTAAACCAAGACGGCCATGACTCGTAAACCACGGTTCGTAAACTATGGATCGTAAACCAAGATCCGTAAACTATGCTCCGTCAACTATGCTTCGCGCCACAACGGCGTGCACTTTTTCGACATCTCAACTTCCAAAAGTGGTCCGGACCTGGTGTGTTTTGTACATGTTGACTTCAAAATGTGCTTCGCGCCACACAACGGCGTGCACTTTTTCGACATCTCAACTGCCAAAAGTGGTCCGGACCTGGTCTGTTTTGTACATTTTGACTTCGAAATGTGCTTCGCGCCACAACGGCGTGCAATTGTTCATCTCTCATCCGCCGCTTTAGCGAGCCTACTTTTCAACCCTCCGGACTCCGGAGCCACAAAACCACCAAAAGACACAGTGTTTCGCGACTTTCCGACCTTTTCGCGCACCTGCATCTTCTTTCTTCTGACTCTTTCTCTTCTGATCTTCTCTCTTCTAATCTTTCTCTTCTCTCTGCCTCTGCCCTGCTCTGCTTTTCATCTGTCCATATTGTCGGAAGTTTGACTTCTAAACTTCCTTCGATGATGTGTAAGATGAGACTGTGCATGTACTTGCCAGAGGGGGTGGGATTTTGATATGACGTGGAAGATGAGAATATGCATGTACTTGCCAGAGGGGGTGGGATTTTGATATGACGTGTAAGATGAGCTGTGCTTGTAATTGCCAGAGGGGGTGGGATTTTGATATGACGTGTAAGGTGAGACTGTGCATGTACTTGCCACAGGGGGTGGGATTTTGATATGACGTGTAAGATGAGACTGTGCATGTACTTGCCAGAGGGGGTGGGATTTTGAGATTACGTGTAAGATGAGACTGTGCATGTACTTGCCAGAGGGGGTGGGATTTTGATATGACGTGGAAGATGAGACTGTGCATGTAGTTGCCAGAGGGGGTGGGATTTTGATATGATGTGTAAGATGAGACTGTGCATGTACTTGCCAGGGGGGTGGGATTTTGATATGATGTGTAAGATGAGAATGTGCATGTACTTGCCAGAGGGGGTGGGATTTTGATATGACGTGTAAGGTGAGACTGTGCATGTAGTTGCCAGAGGGGGTGGGATTTTGATATGATGTGTAAGATGAGACTGTGCATGTACTTGCCAGAGGGGGTGGATTTTGATATGACGTGTAAGATGAGACTGTGCATGTGCTTGCCAGAGGGGGTGGGATTTTGAGATTACGTGTAAGATGAGACTGTGCATGTACTTGCCAGAGGGGGTGGGATTTTGATATGACGTGTAAGATGAGACTGTGCATGTACTTGCCAGAGGGGGTGGGATTTTGATATGATTTGTAAGATGAGACTGTGCATGTACTTGCCAGAGGGGGTGGGATTCTGATATGATGTGTCAGATGAGACTGTGCATGTAGTTGCCAGAGGGGGTGGGATTTTGATATGATGTGTAAGATGAGACTGTGCATGTACTTGCCAGAGGGGGTGGGATTTTGATATGACGTGGAAGATGAGACAGTGCATGTACTTGCCAGAGGGGGTGGGATTTTGATATGACGTGGAAGATGAGACAGTGCATGTACTTGCCGGAGGGGGTGGGTTTTGGTTGCTGAGGTTTGGTTGCTGAAGAGAGAGTAGATTTTGGTTGCTGAGCCGTAGTTGCTGAAGCGTAGTTGCTGAAGCGAGAACCTAGTTTGGTTGCTGAGCCGTGGTTGCTGAGCCGTGGTTGCTGAGCCGTGGTTGCTGAGCCGTAGTTGCTGAGCCGTAGTTGCTGAGCCGTAGTTGCTGAAGCGGAGTTTAATCCGCTGACTGGGATGCACATCCAATTAAAGCTCCGTGCAGCAACAGCTCGCATACCAATTTCCCGGCCCGATTCCAAGTGTCGAACCTCATCGCGTCCACATTTAGGTCGTGATTCGGGTCCTTGAGAAGGTTTGGTGACTCTTGTAGATCGTTAAGAAGTTGCAGCCTCGTTTTTCTTGCCAGCTAAAGTTGAGGTGCCTGGCTTCTGAGAATAAAAAGTTCTGTGATATGTTGATCAACTTGTGAGGACCTGTGGCTCACCTCGTCCGACCGTCTCATCCATTCCCCAACAATCTAGCTTGGTTTTGACATTGAAGCCCAAACATTCCCAAACCAAAAAAAAACGCAAGATTCACACGAATGACACAATGAAGATTCGTGAAACGCGCCTCGTGTCTTTCCAAGACCAAGTCAATGTCTGCATCTCGCAACGCGGCCTGGCACCACAGGCAGCATCAAGGTGCAATGAGATTACAAGTCATCAGTTGGTCTAGGAACAGGAAGTTTAAATGATATCTCATGATTCTGATCTAGGAAAATACTTCGGCAAAGGGCCCCCAAGTTTCAGTCTCTCTACATCACAATGACTGCTAGTTGCAGGGATTTCGGCACATGCGTGATGCCTCATCCATATATATATATATATGTATATATGTTCAAGATTGTTAAAGTCCATTTTCGATTCTTTGATAGGACCACGCCACCCAAGAACTCCATCAATTTGACATATCCAGCAGCCAGGTGTCCGCACTCCATAAAGTCGCGAGCCCACGACATGCGCCACAACCTTTGTGTCGCGCAAGGCCATGATGGCCAAATGTTGCAGCTCCGCCCTGCCACAGAAAATTGGTCCCATCCTCCAGTTAACAATGTTGGACAGGATCAATTGAACTATGATGCAAGAACTATGATGTTTTCTCTATAGATTATGTTTTGGTCATTTTTTGATATGGAATTGTATATATATATATATATATTATATATATATGTACAGGTATGAATCAAATATGTCTACTTTGCCAGTCAAAACTCAAAGGTATTCCAACCGCAAAAACAGTTTCCAGTGCTCTTGGTAGAAAAAAAAACTATCCCTGCCTGATGTTGTCCACCTCCTCTGGTGTCAGGATCTCTGAAACCAGCTCCTGCACAGGGTAATCCAACACCTCAGAGATAAAATACACAAACACAATCATCTACCAGCAGGCTGCCAGGACAGAACTTCAAGATAAAGAAAATCAAGCAATGTGAAAATTTCCGTGAGTGCTTGGTGTCACTGTGTCCATTGTTCTTTGCAGTCGCACCTCCTCTCTCTTGTTTTCTATTGCCCGCATCAAGCTGAATTCTGTGGCATACTTCACTTGGTTACCAGAATTTAGGGGAAAAACGTGTCCCAAATGTAAGTATGAGCATGTCATACATCATGACATGTAGCATATAAAAGTCGCATCCTCCAGATTTCTCCCCATATCATTCCTCTTTCCAGCCTCCGGTAGCGGAAGTTCGTGCAGTGCTGCCGGTGCACACGGCACCGCAAGGCTGCCTATGGGTAGTTGCCATGGCTGGTAACTGGATTCGATTGTGACCCTTGGCGAACTCTTAGAATATGTTGGGATGCCCATGTGCCCCGATCTGGTAGATGATGCTTATTACTAATTAATACTATCTATACACTCTGGTAAACTAACATAACTATGGAAAATCATCATTTTTAATTGGAAAATCCACTATAAATGGCCATTTTCAATAGCTATAACTGGCTATAACTATTCAACAGCTTCAAGAATCTTTCCAGTTGGTGCCTGCTTTGCAGGTACCTCCCATTGTTAGACAAACATGACAAACCCCATTTGATAGCTAAAATACCCACGCATGATAGACCAAGCCAAATCAGCATCGCCAATGCTTAATTCCAACATATTCCACATGTTTCATCTATCACATATAGACATAGATGAAATCAAATAAACTCATACATTCATCCGATCATTTATAGTTGGTTAACCATGTTTGATAATAAAAGAGCCTGTATCGACATCCACCGATCAACCGACCTGCCTCTTACATGACCAGGCGGCACGTCGGAAGCGCTTGGCACGGAGTCTCCTGGGTCTGTTCGGTGGCTGATGGCCGCCCCCAGAATTCACATCAAAACACTACATATATACTGTATATATATATACATATTTATTTATTTATTTGTGTATGTATATATATATATATCCGTGAAGTTGTGTGCCATATTGATAGTTGGGACTCTTACCTTAAGTTTTCATAAGTTTTCTAAGCAGGGTGTGAAATTAACAAAATAAGAATTAAAAATCACTACGCCAGCATGTGTCAAAAGTCTGCTGCAATTCTCCGCAGGGCATCAGGTGCCCCAAACAGGCCTTTACGCCTTTACATCTTTTACACCTTAAATCACTAGGTGTTTCTTAGAGCCTCCAAACCATTTCGACCCAATTCTCCCCACCATTTGCAATGCAATCCACAGAGACCACTGGCTGGCGACAGGATTAAAGGGAAAGTTGCAGGTATACAGCAGGAAACCCTGGTGACAGTGTTGATATAACACCCAAACTTGGATTTTGACGGCAAAAGCACAAGACTTTACGGAAAACACTTTCATCCAGCCTGAAAGACGTTGCTCCAGCTGCACAGCCGCGTGGTCCAAGCCTTCGGGGGTCCTCAGTGGCATCATTCAACAGTCTTTAGTGTCTTTAGTTGTTTAGTTGGATTTGAAAACAAATACAGTATATCTCATTAGCCACTGCAATTTGCAATGTCATGGGGATCTGATCTAACCACTCAAAATTGGAATGTCATCGTCAAATACTACAATCCCTCGATTGATTTTGAGGATATTGATAGGAAACCGTTGGTTTCCCCCCCGGCGTGTGAAAGTTTCGCATGAATTGTCTTTTCGATTAACTCTGGGAAATACTGTGATAAACGATGCCCCATATGTATGATGTGCGATTCATTACAGTATTGGGCCTAGCCCTACTTGCACTGTTTGACAATAGCACCCCAATTTGTCGATCATTGGGGATGGTTCATTAGGGTGGACAAATTTCTGTGGATAGCTAACGTTTGCCCAGCATCAACTCCAAGTGCCCCGGTACTTCTTGTCTCCGCCACTCCTGTGGCAGGCTTGAGCCAACCCTGGAGGTTTAGTTCAAACTACCGTCAGTTTTGCCTTGATAGAACCATATTCAGATATATTCAGCACACACTGAAGCTAGACACGGCCAATGAACCAAATTTCCATGACTCGAGCATGAACACATTTTCCAAGCCTCACAATTGCCAAACAATTTTGGGATGTTCTAAACAAAGGCACAAAAGTTCAATTTTTACCACTTTATGATATATATATATATATATTCCATTAATCACCATTCTTTGTGGGACCAACCATTTGTAGACAAACCATGGGATATAAAAACACACCTATTATATATATATATATATTATATATATATATATCATGAAATATCAATTTTCATGGGTTAAATCCATTCTTCTGGAGCAAACCCCAATTTTGTTGCGGTAATTCTCAACTTCCATCGCTTAGTCATCGTCCATCTTGATGGGGTTAAATCCCAAGTTTCATTTTTTTTTTAAATCCCCATGGCCCATACTTCATACTTCGATATTTCATGGGTAAACCCCAAATCTTAATCCATCAAAGTCATCAAATCCAAATCTGTGTGTGGATTACACCATATTGAACCATATGCTATAAGCTATTTAAACCTTCTTAAACCATATTACACCATAGTAAACCATATTAAACCTCTATTCTTGTGGTGAATTCCTGACATTTTCCCATGGCTCGGCCATGTTTTCACGTCCCTTTTGGATCCTCCGTCTGCGCGGCGTTGCGCGGCCCTGAGCGCAGGATCTGCAGCGCCTGCAGCGCCTGCGGCAGCAGGTCCGAAGAGTCGAAGCTGCGCCTCAGAAGCGGTGGCTGGTGGGTGATTTAATGGTGGTTGATTAACATGTTATTTATAATGTTATTTATAGTCATTAACCACCATTAATGGATGATCACAATTTATAGTCATTAACCATCTAACATTTTTAGCTATTGAAAATGACCATAGAAATAGTGGATTTTCCCATTACAAATGATGATTTTCCATAGATATGTTAAATTACCAGAGGGTAAACAATCCCGAATGGGAGAAGCAGTTACCTAATTGTTATTATAGTCATTTAGTAAATTGTGATTGTGTATTCATCCTTAGGGATTCATAATGGTGATCTAAGGGGTTTTGATTGGATTTTATATGGAGTGGTACTGGCTGGCTTCACGCTATTTTCTGAGGATATTAATGTCACAACATAGGCTAGATGAATCGGTACTATGGAATCGCTTTCACTGAGTGGGATGCGCATCGAAGCACCCTGCTCTGGATTGCTTGTGAAAAATGGATGATGCGCCCGCTATTACTCGGCCATCCTATACTGGGAATATACTGGGAATCAGCCACCGAACGTATAATTACATATGCATATAAATGTATATATATGATATATGGGGTTTTGAGCTTGGTAAGTCAAACAGACATATCGCAAAACATCAAGGAGCTACCAATGACCTAAAACATCCTAAACCTCATGACTCATGACTCATGACCCTGAATTTCGAGGTTTTGCACTGTGTATAATCCAAAAAATATTAAGTAGTTGATAATTTCAGATTGACCATTTCAAATGGTCATTGACACATGCCATAAACCCATCCAGCTCAGGTTTTGCCACTTGCGCGCAAGAACCTACTTTCATGTATCCTCAGGTCCGCTCAGCTTTGGCGGCTGCGGATGGCTGTGGTGTTGCGGCCTCTATGAGGCAAAATCCATCAAAATCCCCGTTGATGGTTCAGAAATACAACATGACTCGGCTCAACTTTGGGGTCTACGCATGTCTACGGGGTTTACTATACTAAGCCCACATTCTTTTCAGAACGGGTGGTCCTAGCAGTGCTCAACAAACTGGCGCACTGCCACAACTACCCGACCTTTGTTTGTTCTCCATACCATACCCCTATCCCATCACAGGCAAGATCTTTGAACCATCACAAAGGACACGTGCGGCTCCCAAGCTCACTGGACATGGACATGGTGAAAGTCCCAGACGAAGCCCATGTTGGACTCCTACCAGTACCAAGGTTGAGAAGTCGGACGAACTGAGGGCCGTGAAGTTGAGAATGCTATCACCCATTCCTTTCATCACCTCTTACGTGACGAATGATACTACGTAGTTAGCCAGTTGCTGAGTTTGCTGATGAGCAGTTGTTTTCCCAAATTTATAGAGATGCGATGTTACGAAAACATGTGCACACGTGTCGCATATACTGTACACCGAAAATCACACCGACATACTTACAGCAGAATTCTTTAGATTAGATTAGATACGATTGACATATATGCATCCAAAAATGAATGAAGACATGTAGACTTACAATGTAGACATGATTTAAAACCATCCTCAACGTCAAAACGGACCCTGAGATTCTCAGATCTTTCCCAGGTTGTGACCCATGACCCGACGGATCCCAACGGCTCCTTGGAAAAATCACCACATTTCTTGGCAGTGCAGGGCAAACAGCGCTCAGCAATGCAATCAAAATTCTGGAAATATGGTGTCCTGACATGCAGCAGAAGTTATGCACATTGGAAGTGATGAGTGAGGGAATAAGTGATGCATCTTTTACCCGCAGAAACACTTCCATTTGTGACCAGCAATTGCTTGGCTATTTTGGGGTAGGGGCAACTGCTGGTTCACATTGTGTGTGTGTTGAAGAATGTGCAACACACTTTCCACAGCTGCAAGCCCTCTAGTTAAGGTCGAAATGGAATGCATATGTCAAAGACGACAAATCATGGGAAGGCGCAAAAACATATTTCTGTTGACAAGGGGCTCCATGCTCCATCATTTAATGTGTCACCATCATGAACAGCTCAGAACATGGAACAATCAGCACTCTCCAGGTCTTGTCTCTTGCGTATGTGCCTCATGAGAAGGAAAGCTCGCACTATTTCGACAAGGTATTGGGATACAACTATATAACTATAACTATGTAGCAGGATCCAGCAGGTAAGCCATGACCAAACCTTTGCTCAGCTTCAGGAAAGGCTCCGACTTTTGCTGGTAATGTGCCAAATAAATGCCTTGGGCCATCAAGTCACTGCTCCCCAGTTTGCAAATGTAATCAATGTGGATGGTGCAACTGAAACTGGCGACAGAGTCAGCAATAGTGCAAGAAATATCAATAAATCATAACTATATAATAAATCAATTTCTTCTCAAAACCGTTCCTCATTGCTCCTTCTTGAAATCAGTTAGTATGGTATCAGTGGCCAAGTTTCATTCTTCATCACCGCAGCCTGTGGAAGGCTGAAAACCGTGACATTGTGGACGTAGCTGTGGCCCCTTAGAAGCACTGGGAAAGATTGCCAGGCGGCCAAAAGGCCAAGAAAGGCATTGCATAAAAGCCACGAAGTCACGTGGCGAAGTTACGCAGCACCTTTTCTTCCTGCCTTCTGTGCAAATGAAAAAATGGCGCTTCCAAAATGACAGGAAAACAGCCCTAGAACTAGAACACAGCCTCAGACCGGCCAAAAAATGTCGCTCTGCTTACATCCCCACAGCTGGTGGCTGCTGCCAAGTTTCTGGATGCTTATGATGTAGCTGCCAAGTCCTGAACAAATGTTCTGCGCGAGGCAGCAACGCTCTCATGCGATCTGAGGCACGCATGTTTCATGATAAGTATGCAGTAAAAAGGCGTGGGTCTTTGATGAATCTATCCTCAAATATTGCGGTAGTATGACAGCATCTACAGACCAGTTCATTTCATGAAGAATATCCTACAATTGACTGAGGGGTGCTAGAGACAGGGATTCAACCGATCAGCTACACAGACAGGACAGCAATCCAACGCATGCAGTTGCAATGCGTGTCAGTACTGTCAGTCGATGCAACAGTTTCATACAGTTTCATCACCCCCGAGCAGTCCTACAGCATAGTGCTCCAAGCAAGCACTGTCAACGCGGTAGCTCACATAGTCCATACCAAAATTGTAGCCTCCCCCAGGAGCAGCGTTCATTCAACTATTCAGCGGCGATGTTTCAGAGATGCTCTGGATGCCCGGTGGGCCAGGCAAGGGCACACAGACCGTGTATCCAGAAACCCATGAGGTCTCTCCACTATGGACGACCAGAAAACATCGCAGAAACGCACTATGCAACTCGACCGTGTGAAAACCAACAAGGTAATGAATCTGTGATTGTTCCTTTGACATCCAAAGCAATGACAGCCGACAATGATGGTAAAACGCCTGGTCTCCTGAAGTATGGGTTGATGTAGGGCAGCTCGTTCTGGTAGAAGAACACCTTTCCACCGTTTCCTCGCCAATAGACTTGATCTTGCATGGTATGCTCCGATTGCAAGCCATAGACGATCCTGAGATCGATCTGGGAATGTGCGCAACATCAGCCAAGTTCAAAAATCATGTTTATGACAAGCTTGGCTAGGATCAGTCAGTTAGAAAAAAACTGAATCCTGAATTCTGGCCTTAGTTTCCCCTCCTAAAATCATCTAAAATCATCCAAAAAGTCATCCAAAAATCATCCAGAATCATCTTATAAAATCATCCCAGAATAATCTGCAAATCATCTAAAAATCATCTAAAATCCTCCCCCATACCCCTCTCCCCCCAAAGCCTTCACCCCCCAACTGCCACCAGCGTCGTCCGGTCGCCGTAGACCACCAGGCCGTTGCCACTGATGCAGGTGGCGGCGGAGATGCTGTCGGGCCACTTGTTGCTGCAATCGTCGTGATCCGCGTGCCACAGCCAGGTGTGGTCCTTGGGGAGATGACGAGGGCGATGGGGTCAGGTCTTTTGGGGCTAGATTTTGATGGTTGAACATGGGGATGGGTATAGAAATTGATATTATGTGGAATATGATGAGCTATATTACACCCAGAAAAGGGTTTTACAGGGAAAATGATCATTGAGCAGCAATGAAAGTAATAGAGCTTTGAGCCGTCTAAACATGGGAAGTAGAACGATCATCGAACATCAACATCGGTCAGCGCAGCACCCAGGATGCCACAGGTGAAGATCACCATGTGGAGCTCAGGCGTTGCAAAATGGAAAGGGAAACATCACTGGTTGGTGGTTGATCTACCCCTCTGAAAAATATGAAAGTCAGTTGGGAAGGATTATCCCATATACTATGGAAAATAAAAAATGTTCTAAACCACCAGCCAGATCATTATATAAAGCCACTGTCTAGCATTCAAATGCGCTCAGAATACAAATCCTCCATGGCACCAGCTGTTTTGGGACCAGGCCAAGTCGCCACCACATTGTCAATGCCATCGACTTGAACAAAGATGTTGGCCTGCTTGGCCTGGGATGATTCCATGCTCATCTCTGCCCAATAGTGGGAGAGAACCCTCACTAACTATTAGCAATGTATTAGCATCCATTAGACTCCATTGTGTCAAATTGTGTCAAATTGTGTCCCTTCCATTGGTGTCTTTTGATTCGCCGCAAGAACGGAGAGTGACACAATTTGCAGGCAAGTGCAGGCAAGTGTCGGTGCAAGGCCTGTGAAAGTATGTCTCATATTTGAAGGATCCCACGCGCGCAAAGAGGTCTGAGGCAACCCCTCTGTTCCCACTCCTTACATGGACGAGTGGATCAAGTGGATGACAAAGAGTTTCGGCAGCACAGCAGACGTGCCCATGCACACCTCTACATCCTCTGTACCGTCTATGGACAAATGGAGCCAAAACACAGAACCCAGGGCATGCATTTCAATCATGTGGGTGACTGAGAATCTATGAGGATCAAAAACAAACTTCAGGCTCTGAAGGTCATCCTACTTAGCTTGGGAACAACATATACGTCCTGGCGATGGTCATGGCCATGGTCAGTTGATTCCATATGACTTGATCAACTCCGAGTTGCCAAGAAGCAGCGCTTCTGTCTTGATGCTGGGAGTTGCATCAAAGCCCCCTTCCAACAGGACCCCGGCAATCCGCACATTGTCAGTGACGATATGTATGGCAGGCAAACTGCCCTGAGCTGGTTGGTGAGTTCGTGACATGCATCTTGGAACGGTGAATGCCTCACACTATAGCATGAGATTGAGAGCAAGAATGCGGCAGGTTTCATAATCTCAGCTGTGCCCAGGCTTCCCTGGGCACATGTTTCAGTCCAGGCACCCAAGTGACTGACACAGAGTTAAGCCATTAAAGCCACTTAAAAGATCTTAAAAGCCACTTCTGCCAAGGTTCCAATGAAACCAAGGTCGCGAAACCAAGGCCCAAGATCACAAAGCCAGGTGTTGTAATCGTGATGGGCATTGAGAGTGGGTAGATGGCAGGACTCAAAAGCAAGCCCTTCTTGCCCACAATGCCAGCCTCAACAACAAGTGCATGAACTTGACTTGTGCTATGGTAGGTTGCACGTCAGGTAATACCACTTGAACTAGTACTGCACAACTTTGGGTTTGACATGTTATCACAAAATCCTGCAGCCCGTGCAAGCAGTGTGCAAGCCAAACGCCTCCTGTGGATTCACAGGGTGCACTAAATGATTTTACATGCATGTCGCTTCTCCTAACAAAACACCCAGCACATAGCTTGCAACTTAAAGTTTGTTTCGTCAGACCTCCAACAGACGTTAATTGTCCAAACCAAATCGAAACTCTACAGTGAAGCAAGGCAATACTAACGCGGCATTTGTCAAATTGTAAGCCTGCAATCTGGCGATCTTTTCTGTGTTCGCAGCTGGCATCCCAGCAGTCCATGGGAACCGCTTCCGATAACAAAGCATCATCCTTTGATGACAATGTTCCCTCTTCTGCTCGGATCAGTTTGATGAAAATGGCGCGTGATCTGTGCAGCCAAAGCGTTGAAAGTTTTCATCTTTGGCAACTGATGAACCTTGGCGTAGGTCTTCATCGCGCTCCAAGTCTCGTCCATCGCTGGAGATTTGGAACTCCTTGGCAGGAGATTCTTGGACCTCAGTATTGTTATGGCAGTGTGCGTACAGGTGCCACCACGTTGCCACCGCCCATTGGTGCTATCAGATAACAATGCTGTTCTCAGCTTTGCAGCTGCATCCGATGCCGTATCAAGTGGGTCTATCAAGAACCCAAGTTTTCGCAGTACGTGCTTATTGTTAGTGGCATTCCAGAAGCAGTTCAGTGCCTCAGTCAAGTCCGTGTTCCATGAGTCATCAAGGTAGCCAAGTTTCTTCAATGCTTGGGCAACCAAATCACCAGAATCCTGCAACATGAACGGACCACCGCCCAGAAAGATACTGCGCCCAAGTCTGCTGCCATATTTGTTCAGCTGCGACTTGGACTTGCCACGTCTGACTGGTACAACAAGTGCGAAGGATTCAGTGTCCGAGATCCATTTGCGAGGTCGTTGACGAAGAGCACTGTTCAAGGCGAAAGTGCCAACTGACAAAGGGAAAACACACAACGAACCTAAGCTGTTTGCAAACCAAAATTTGGCGATTCTTTGCACTGGATATCCGCCTGAAGATGAAAAGGATGCTGAACAGCCTTGGCCCTTCAGAAGTTCCTCCCAGGAGTCGTACATCGCTACCCTCCTCGCCCGATTTGCCGATGGATCAATGGCTTCCCCAAGCTCCACTGTCCCATCCCCATCAGGATGAAGGATTGCTTTGACTGTTGTTAATCGTGCCTCCACTGGCAAAGTCAACACTGGTATGCCTTGCTCCTTGTAAAAATCAGCAACGGCGAACGAAGTGCTCTTAATGAGCACGTAGAACCGATGCTTGTCAGACATGCTATGCTTAATCACACTGGCAAAGCCTTTGTCATTGGTGAACAAGGCTACACATGCACCACGTGGAGACTTTGCACACTTTTGAATTTCAGAAATGATCGCATCATCATTCGGCTCTGCTGCCTGGTTCTGCGCGCGAGGAATAGGAACACAGTGTGTTCCAATTCCTCGTGCGACAGGAAACTTCAGACCGGCGAGATAGCTCATTCATGTTTTTGTTGTTGACAATCCCAGGGGCTACAAAAACCAGCGCGCTCACGTCACCAAATTGTTTGGCCAAGTATTCCATTGCATCACACACTTGACTGGAACCAAAAACATCTCCGTCAACTAGCAGTCTTACCTTTTTATACCTTTTCACACTCTCATGAATCCATCTCCTCCCAATGGTCAGTGGCAAAGGAAGCGGCAAAGAAACGCTCCGAGTCTGACTTGGAGGGAGAGCTGGCATTTTCACTGCCGCCAGCCTCGAGAGGATGCAAAGACCATGCCTAAAGGAACACATCACGGCACAGCTGACTAAAGAATCTTAGACCTGTGTTTCTTTGATCCCAGATGGCTATGGAAGCTACCGGGGGTCATGCAGGAGCCAAACAGGCAGGGCCAACACAAAAAACACACACACACAAACACCTTCAAAAACAAATTACAATAACCTGATTGAATAATTAATGCAATCCACAGTGTTACAGTTTTGCTCAGATTTGGTTTGCACTCACGCAATCATGGCAAGCACAGCCTGCCCAAAGCTGAGGATCCTATCACCCGAACAGTACATTCCACGTTAATGGGCAAACCAAAAACTTCAAGATGAGGCTTGGCAGCTTTCCTCGCACCGATTACCTGACCACCGAGCACGGCCAAGAAGCATTGATGGAAGCCTCCGTGTCACCGGCTTTGGCCACATACCTTTCAAAACAATGCATGTCCACACTAAGAGACTCTAAAGGGATGATGAATGATGTACCTATAGTTCCAACTGTCAAGAATCATCAAGGATACACTAATCTGATCTAATCTGGAGAGAAGGAAGCACACGCCATGCAATGCTTCAAGACGCTTCAAGAAATGGCATGAACTTATCCATCACACAGTCTTAGCCAGATCTATCATAAAATATACACATTGCCTCAAACCATGCTAAAACTGCTGAAGAAAAACCCTTCGCATCGCCCAGGATTCCCAGGAAATTAATGATCAAAACCAGTAAGTTTCTGCCACGTTGCATCTCTTCAATGGGAATTGTTCTTTCTATGTCGCCACTCAGGCCAACACTGTTGCTTGTGACTGGTGGCACCTCAGGTGGTGCCAAGTCTTGGGGCTGGGAATGAGAAACTGAGATCATGAGCTAAGTAACAGTTTCATCCCGAAGGTTCAACAGCTTATTGCCTCAAAATCTGGAACAAGTGACAGAATAAGGACGCAAAACCCAACAATCATATGCAACAAACCTTCCGACATAATGGACCGAGCTCGGGGATAGTTTCAGCGGGACAGGCTGCAATCAGTGTGTACATGAGAACTTCCACCAGCATGGTGTTATCTGTTACACAGCACCTTGATTCAATGTGTCCTTTAGAAACCTCCCGAAGCCCCATGAAGCGTCAACAGGCAAAGAACCATGATTGTCCGCACATCCTGAACCGCTTTCATTCCCTCCCAATCGGAGTGATACCTGTACTACTCACAAGAGAGCACCCGCTCTCTAAGCCCGGGTCTAAATGGAAATGACCTATATATGGTTTGTGGTGGTTTGTGGTAAAAATACTGACACACCAGTCAAGTTACATGGACAACACAGTATGCAACATTCTCCCTTACACAGAGCTTTTTGGTCCCTTCCACCTGGCAAGTCTTCAGCCAAGGCCCCACATCCCCCCAATTCTGATGAAGCGTATTGTCCACGTATCCCTGATCGCTGTTTCATTAAATTATGATAGCCTCCTTCCAATCTGGCAATAGCTGCACCAACAAATCACGCGCCGAGTTGCATGGACTAACCAATCCTAACCCGGGTTACAACTACCATAAGATCATAAGTAAGCTTAACTTGGTTTATAATTATACTAAAGCCCAGCTGGTCTCATCCTTGAACCGGCCCCAGCCAGGTTGCATAGACAAACCACTTTCCATTTTCCTCCACCAAAAACGGCTTCTCCGCCACCCTGTCGGTCTGCGGGATGTCGGAGACCATCTGTGGGGCATTGACTTTGGGCAGCTGCGGGGCGCCCCGGACGCCGACGTAGACCGTGTTGTAGTTGGAGGTGTTCCGGATGTCGACTTTGCCGAACTCACCTTCCACATGATTTGCAATAAAACCTATATTACAAGTATATATGCATGCACAGTTTTTAGCTATCACAACAGTAAGAAGAGGAAAAGGTGAGGGTAAAGTAAAGAAAAACAAAAGAAAGGAAAATAAAAGAAACAAACTGGAGTGTTGAAGAAAATTGTTACAGTATGTTACAGTCATTTCCTTTCGATCTTATTGTTGTGAATCCGCCAACCATGTGACGCAAACAATGGCCATGCCAAAACTGTGCCATCAACAGAAAAATATGACACTATGGCTCCAGGAACAACCAGCACCCTGAAGCACTCTTTGGAGATCTTTAGGGCTTGGTTAAAGAAATTTTGAGTGACTATTGAGCGAATAAGGCCTCCCTTCCGCCACCATCCCCAGCAGCATGAACCGCTGCCAGGCGTCAATTTCGAAACATAAACTGCTGCTGCGTTCCCAGTTTGACAGTTCCCTTCACAGCGACATTAGCGATGAAACCGCCGCTGCTGGGGCCCAGATTCGTTTCTTTCCTTGGCAGTCTTGTTGAGCGGATGCAAATGATCCAGGTTTAGCCCCAAAACAGAAGTGAGGTTGCCTCACGTTTGCTCAAAGACGACAGTACCTTCAAGATTGCTCCAGGTTCCAGCAGTCGGAACCCTTGAAGCAAGTCACATTTGCACGGGGTTTGATGCAGCCAAAGCTCCCGCAATAACCAGAAAGTTCCAAATCTCCATAAATCACGCCTCAGAGACGGGGCAGGATTCTGAGGCCGAGAACTTACAAGGTGAGAGGCTCATGAGTCATGAAAAATCATGAAAGCTTAAATCCTGTCATCATGTGACTATAGGTTCTTGAAACTTCAAAACTATAGGTCAGACAGCAAAGCTTCCCTCCTCAGCCTGTCTGGAACTGTCTGGAACGATCACCAAAAGCACATGGCTCTCGGTATCCCCCAGTATCCCTCACAGATGTTGAGAAGGCACCAACAAGCTGGGAGTCCAAGTCATTGGCTAAGTTTGCTTTATAACTCCAATAATTCTTAAGTTTATGGTAATCTATCACGAATAATGTACTAATACATAGATCACACACACACATATATATATATATTATATCTATATCATTCTATATCTATATATTAGATCCAAAGTAGTCATAATACAATGGAAGTTATGAACCAGCAAACATCACTGGTGGGCACCACATACCTACCCGGGGACGCTGCAGTTCAGCGGCTGCGCCGCACAGGACAGGCTTGAGATGTGGCCCACGTGCATGTCTTCGTGGCCGTCAGGCCTGGACAGGAAGGGAATTCCAAGGGATTAATTCGAGGGAAAACCTACAAGAGAGCAGCATGTAAGCAACCAAAATCCTGTGGATTCTAAGAACCAGCAATTGGAATATCTTGGTGTTTGATAGGGCAATGCCCATTCAATCAATTCCACTTTCCAACATTGAAACACTGATTGTAATGTTCTTTGAATTTGACTGGAACACTATGGTAAAAGCTAGACTTCCAACAAATTTCAAATCATCCTCTGGCAACAACAACCTTTATCCATCATAAATCAGATTGAAACTCCACCGGATGCACCTTCCACCGAGCGCCAGAAGGTCTTCGTGGCACCCCCCTGTTGCCAGGGCAGCCGGCTCCTGGGCATGAATAAAAGTCCTGTGCCTGATCCTAGCTCAGGAAATCCATGAGATTTTGCTGGAAAATAGTCTTTGGTTCGGGTGGTGAGTGCTGAGTGTTCGTCACATTTTTTGGTCCGACACTGTGTTTGGACAAGTGAATGCCGAGTGAATAAACTATAGCTGTTGCGTGGCTATGGCCCGTCACAAATACATAACAATCAAGGCATGGGTCACTTCTGCAAAAGGTCTGTTGGAACTTGCCATCCAACTCACTTGGAGCAATGGTTGAAGCTGCAACACTTAACAAGTCCATCCCTTCACATCAGGAACTCTCAAGAAAGCATCTGCCGGCACATCATCCTCACCCCTCCCACATCAAAGGAGTTTGCAAATCGAGCGTCTCAACGTTGAAGGACTCCACGTAAACTGCGGAGGGATCATCGCCCACACCCATGACGCTGGTGTAGAAAGGGACCTGGAAGGCGAGATCTCCATAATCTCCTGCAGGTCGCAGGCAGTTGGGACATGTCGTGGCAATGAGCAAAAGTTCTGGAGGATTCTTGGCTTATATTGCCATCATTTGCCATCCGAATCTTGAGCAAAAGACTTGTGACTTGACTCGACTACCCTCTGGTAAACTAACATAGCTATTGAAAATTGCAATTTTTAGTGAGTTTTCCCATTAAAAATGGTGATTTTCCATAGTTATGTTAGTTTACCGGAGGGTATACTTGATTTTAGTCACTTCTTCATCTGCGAGGGTCATTTTGAATCTCCACTTGCCTCTGGCTTCACATTTTCAGGCCTCACCTCGTGTCAGAAGAATTGCCTGGCGATGAATAGAAAACTCATCTTGCTTGTATGTCTGGTAGTGGTGGTCGAGAAAACCTCAGTTTCAATCATGGTGATGTAAAAAATTGATAAAAATTGGCATTACACATTAGATACGAATTACAGCAGTGAGAGCCATGTCTTTGTGAAGACGAATGGATGGAGCTGTTGTTGTTTGGTAAGTTCACGATCTTTGCACGTTGCAAATTCATCCAACAAAACCACAAGCATCACACTTTGCTTACAAAATGAGAACAAAAGGCTGGAGCCACCTCCCGTGGTCGGATCATACATTGCAGCACGCTGGACGCAATCACTTTATGCTGTTAATAGTAGCAGGTATTGCTGCCAGTGTAGGAAGCTTGATCACAGCTGTGTACGGTAGTACGGCATAAGCAGGTAACTCCTATAAATCATATTATCCTAAGTCCAAAGTCTAGTCTGCACCATTTTCTGCATCTCAGTTACTTTCTCCTGAAGGGGAAGTTTACCTATGATGTGTGGGATTGCATCAGTGACTTCAAAGGCTCTGGCCCAAGACAAGTCGAAACTACTGACCCGAATTCTCATTCCGTGCCAAAATTGTCAGACATGTCTCATCATGTCTCCAAAAGCCCCGACTCTGCAAGGTCAATTTCCCCTAAATCAAACATCAGCATCTTCACAATAGCTACCAGCAACATCCAGTAACTATATGTAACTATCAGATCTATCAGCCAGTTGGACTCCGTTGGACCCTGCCAGGGCGCTTTGTGCATCTTCTTGCTGCGCAGGGGAGAAGACTCGAATTGAGGCGATGCCGTCGTACCATGCAGCAGTCGCTACCCCGTGGAGGGCGAAGACCAGGCGCGGCCATGGCGTCCACGACATGGTCCGAAGTGGTGATCTTCGAGGGCAAACGGTGGGATAGTTTGGGATGAACAGGTGGGATATCGTAATGCCAAGTTGGGGAAAACCCAAGGACAACCTGGGTGTCAAAATCGAGCTAGTTGAATGTGCATCCTTATATACACAGTTTGAGCGTCCTTGAAGCCAAATCACGAGATGAAGCATAACTATAATATGCTCACGTACAACTAAATCAACTATGTATGATGTATGTGCGTGTTTTAGATAGATAGATATATATATATATATACACACTGAGGTCACAGGATTGGCATCATGATGATGTAGATAGGATTACCGAACTACACTTTGCGTGGATGCTATGCTCAACTCCTGTCCCAAAGTCCCAAAGACGCAACAATCCCAAAGTGCCAAGATGTGCCAAGTGGTTAACCGTTCCCATCTGAGTCTCCAAGCAGTACCGCATTCCGAGTGCTACGAGTCATTGGAACCTACCATTGGCACGTCATTGGCTTTGGATGCTCAGTTCATTGTGGTGATTGGTTCATAGGAAGTCTCTCGATGATAATCCATGACAATCCCCCATATTGGGTAACATAACCCTCCACAATCATCAACCAACAGGGGTTTTGAAAACTGCTCATTCATGATGACTTCTGTTTTTTGATATGCTGGAAACCCGCTGGACCTGACCATGTCTGGTGGATTTCCATTGTAAACAGCCAGCGGATGGGTCATGAAATTGGCATACATCACTTTATCACACTTGATCTTATTACTTTTCCTTATACATCCTGGATAAAAGTAACGACTAACGACCGGCAAGAGTAGAGTCCAGGGTGGGGAATCTATGCGTTCATTCTTCAATAAATTCACAGGTCTTTCCTTAGGTCGCGGAAATGACACGGACACCAACATACTGATACGAATATGATATGATACCCAAGTTTGAAACTTTGAAGCCATCGATCTGGTAGATTTTACTAGTTCACTAACATTTTTTGCCCGTGAAATCTCCATTTTTGTTGGTTTTGTTGAAACCATTCCATTGTGACCACTGTTCCCCGCGCATTGCCATTGTAATTTAATAAATTATGTAATGCTTATAAGATGTTATAAGAACTAGAATGAACAGTAACTGTTATTATGCAGAATGTTAAGCCTTGTCATTTAACCATTTTAACCATGAATAGTCATCAACACATAATCATTAAACTAACCCAACTGGCTTCTCATCTTACAGGAAATGATTAACCACCAAATCAACCACTTAAGTTCACCATTCACCATAACTAACCATTGAAATCACTTGGCTTAGCTCCATCCCTACGGACCTCCTCCCGCAGCATCCGCTGCAGCAACTGCATGGCTGTCTGCCACTGCCGTGCCATGGCACAGCAGGAGATGGCCGCAGTAAATGCCACTGTGCCTCAGTTTCCAGCTAAGGAACTTGGAGATTATGAGAATTTTGGAGATATATCCAACGTACTGATATGTAATTTCATATATATATATAATATATATATATATATAATATATATATACAAATATATATATATATAATTTTTAGTTGACATTACATAAACCACAGCTCCAAACCCAACTTGCCACCCAGCCACCAAGTTCCGACTCTTTCTCGAACATTTCGAGGCCCAAGGACCATTGGCCTGGCAATGCGAGACCATCAGAGGTGACGTCATGATGTAGTGCCCTTCCAGCCTGCTCGTTCCATAGCTCCTTAGGTGTTTCAACACTGCAACTGAAGAAAAGTAATGAATAGGAAATCCCATATTCTATGCAAATGTCCAATAAGAAAACATGTTTTAGATCAAACGCAAACCTTACTATGGGGATATTCTAGATAGATTCAGCACATTTCAGCACATCTTGAAAATATTTACAGCCCTCCTTTATCCAGAAGTTTCAAGTTAAGTTGGGGATGGATTATGTAAAACGGTTTAAAACATATAACACTGACTATATCTATATTATCCATCTACAGTATATATATTTATAAATAACATATATATATATATAGATAGATAGATAGGGATGAACACCCATACATTCCGGCTGTTTTGATGTTCGCCATCTGAGCCGAGCATCGGATCAAGAGCCCCGAAGACACCAAGTCGTGCGGAACAGGCCTTTGGACCCAAACCTCAGTGGGTGTGGGTCAGAACCCATCAGATGTGTCAGAAATAGTCTATGGATCGACATTGGAAGTGGCAACTAAATAATTTTATAGTTTCAACATTCTTGAACCATCCAATATTTTTTTGGGTAGTCAAATTTGAGCCAAGGTCATACCCTTCGCTGATCAACCATAGCACTTAGAAATCCTGGAACCAAATGGAGGTTTATGGAGGTTTATGGTTGGGAAAATCATCCAACTAAATGGAGGATTTTCCCGCCAGCTTTGAGTACCAGAGGGTATCCATGGCACCAGCGTGGTCGCGCTGCCAAGGAGCTTGCAACGCCTGCTGCCACTCACTACATCGGCTGCATGCACTCAGGGCGCTGTTGAAGCAGGAGAGGCTGGGGACCTCGAGCTGGCATGACGTAGTGGTGGCAGGTGAAGCCCATTTCTGCTGGGATGTAGTACAAACATGTATTAATATATAGACACAATTATCTAAAATTATTTAAAACATATGAATGCCAATAAGTCCAAGTGGGCACTTCTTTTCATGGGTACAGCCTGTTACAATTTGTAGAGGCCACCGTGAAAAAAATACAGATTCCTGTTCAACTCTGAGAATCCCAGCTGGAAACACAAGAAATCCAACAGGATCTAAGCTCTGGGCCACATCCCGCTGTTGCATATCCTGACAGGGCAAGATTAAGACATTCTCTACATGAGGTTTTTCACTTGGCATGTGGAGCTCTAAAGAAGTACCCAAAGGTTGTGACCATCCCATGAGGTTCGGAGAAGAATCCACAGAGGCTCTGCGATCAGTGCGGTCCAAGAGTCATTATAGACACCCAGCGCCTGCCATGGTCGAAGTTTGTGCCCTCTAAGTCGTGATCCATAACATCCCTACGGTATGCTACGGTAACTTATGCAAGAGTCAACATATGACATAACTCAATCCAGTAACCAACCAGGCCAAGTCTTTTTCTGAAACACATAAGACATCTATTGACAGGTATCGTACTCCTTCATGTGTGGCGCTATGAAAAGAGACCATCTACTCCCCCAAAATCACCAAAAGTGTTTGGCAACACTCCATCCATCATAATCAATTTCAAGACTTCCTGGGGATTCAAACACATCTAAACCAACACATGATGACCATTGAACCAACCCTTTCACCCAATGGTGGCTATAAATCCATCTGCCATCACCCGCCTCTTGCCACAGGCTGGCGCGGTCACACGCGGCCACCGCTACCGTAAAGGCAGGAGGTGCCATGGGCTCAGAGAGCCACGCGTACACCTCTGGCCTCGAAGGTGTCACAGGTTGTTAGCTAAGGTCGGCTCAGTACAAAACTAGTGCTAGAGTTTATGGTAAATATATATCTATCCATCCATCCATCCATCTATCTAGGTAGGTAGGTAGTGAATACGGTACATGATTTGCTCAAACCTCTCACTCTCACTCCAAGTTGCAAGTCTGAAAGCCCACTAAAAGTTGCTTCCGGATGTGTTTCACTGATGGAATCTGATCAACTCTGGCTGGCTGAGGCCATGCATGTTTCCATGATCGTCAAATTTAGCACATGGTTAAGTAATGCTAGGTAAGATTACAGTAGGTAAGTTTGTTGTGGCCTGTTATAACTGGAATAAAGTCAGTTTTTGTTCCAGTTCCCTTCTTGAAAATCAAACATTGCTTGCTGGAAAATCCTGCATTTAGTTCGATGATTTCCCAGCTATAAGCTCCATTGAGTTCGGGGATTTCCCACCTAGCCATGTTTGATTATCTGCATTGAATTTATAGGTGGTTTCCACTAAGAATTTACAAACGAGTCATTTTCCACAAATATGTTTAATGACTGCTATATCGGTAATATCCCATATTAACTATAATATATTATTAAGCCTTAAGCGAATGGATTTATAGATGATTTTCCCATGTATTTTCGGATCATTTCCCATAGTTTCCAAATATTTCCCCACATTTTCCCACAAAAATCGACAAATTTCCAGGATCCTCGCCTGAACAGCGCCAGCGCTTGGCGCCACGCAATGGCCCTCGCGCAGGCTGAGACGGCTGCTGCATGTGCCACGGCATCAGCACCTGCAGCGTTTGATCTGCAAAAATCAAGCGGTGAATAACAGTCATATGGGACATATTGATAAAGTATTACACTAGTTACTATGTATTGCTATGCTTTTAGATTATGATTATGATATAATTTTATAATTATGGTTGATATATGTTTGATATATGATACATGGGCATACATGCAGTGTTCTAAAAAACGGCTTTGGGGTGGGTTTGGCATACCATCATTTGCAATACCGTTCTTCAAATGCGAAGTTGCAAACAACTCAGCCCTGCACTGCCACATGCTCGGAGCAAAACTGTACAAATTCGCGAGACTGTGAACTTTCACCTTCCATCACCTTCCCACATTTTTGAAATTATCAGCATACATCTGGTACGAATCTAGGCACACCTGGGGCTGCTTGTTGTGTGCCCAATCCCGGTGCCTCCAGCAGAGCGCCTTGCATTGTTGAGTGTGAAGGCTCACTGGTGGATCTTACTTAGATGCTACGGCCATCTACGGCCTATGGCCCCACTGCAGCTGACAGAAAGGAGGCCCAGCAGTCACAAGCAAAATCTTGTAGCCAAGCAACATCTCCTCGAGCAAGCCTTGTGCAGACTGGGGAGCCCCTAAATCCCTTCTCTCCACGAGTTGTCACCCAATGTGGATCTTCGAGGTGGGTAGCCTTTGGCTAAAACAAATCCAACTCTGTCAGACAGTGGAAGGTGGAAGCTCAAACTTATCAGCCAAATACCTCTTGCCAAATCGAGATCCACTCCGCGAGTAGCTCTCTAGCTTCCTTCTCAGTGCTTTGACCTACAGTACCATCATCAGCTGCGGCCTCAAAATATCTCAAAATGAGATATCATCAAATTTTGATCCAAACCGTCTTCTATATAATTTTGCCAGATTTTGGCAGCGAAAATTCAAACACAAATCCCACCACACAGGAAAGATCAGGAGGCATTATCTGCTAACCAAGCACCATCCCCACATTGCCCGCAGCCTATGGCGCTCTCCCACGAATGCCCACGGCCACACGCACCAATGACCGCTCCGTAGGTGCGAGCGGTACGGGAGATCTGCGGGCGGTGCAATATGATCAGATGATTGAGAAGAAAAAACTAAAGCGGGTATGGGTCAAAGATCGGAATGAACAGAATAGACTGGATTGAATAGATGATCATAGCATGGATCTTTTTCTCAATCTGGTCCCTAAGTTTGACCAAACTGTTGAATGTGGAAGCCTAAATGACGTGGTAGCAGTGGAAAGGTGGAACATCTCTTCTGACAGCTCTGACAGCATCGACCTTGCGATGGTTCAAAGATCTTCAAAGCTCCTGGAGGACTCTTCTTTCAAAACAAAATCATTCAACATGTTCAACTGGCTGGACCACTCTGAAGAATAGGAGTGGATGGGGATCATCATCTCAAATCAAAAATGCTTGGAACCACCAGAAAATTAAGAATTTCAGGGAGGATTTCTCCACACAAAGGGTGGTGAGAATTTGTTGAGAATTTTGTTGTCTGATTTCTTTGGGGAAAGCCAACCTGCACCCTGCACCTCATAGCGCGATAGCCAATTTATCATCATGTTCCTATTAAAAATGGAAGTAGGAATTTATTTCCATTTCTGGCCAAGACAAACGTCTATATTTACATATAAAACATCATAAAAACCCTCATGTTTCATGCTAATTTCCCCCAGATTTGATTGTTGACCTGCTTCAATCCCCACGTTTGATGTCTTAACCCCCAATGGGGGGCGCCTGCTGCCGATCCATGCGCTTCAACAGCTCCAGTGCCGTTTCTGCACTGCGCGCGCGGCCGCAGGCGCCCAGGGCCGAATTGTAGGCGATGGCGTTGGGCTGGCAACGCCTTGGGGATTGGCACCAAGGTACGAGTAGATACACTTGTTCTATTCATTTGCAATGGTACCTACTAATGCATATAGTATTTATAAATAGATATTCATCTGCAATGGATCTATGGTTTAAAACATATTAATTAATATATATATATATACAGTACTGTACATATATATATATATTATGTTCATCGGATTTCATCGGTAGGTTGATATGTCCAAAGCGTGAGTGCATGCTGAACAAAAATTAGAACATGTATGCCAACATGTTGCTGTGCTCATTGGATCAATAGGCAATGGTACCATCTATCGAATTGCGATTCTCGGTGGCTTAAACCTCCATACCTCCTCGCCAAATCATGTTGAAAGCATGTTGAATCTTGTTGAATCCAATGTTTGAGTTGGTTGAATTACAGTATGTTCAATGCCTTTTTTGGCTTGGTGAAATCATGTGAAATCCAATTTTGGGGTTGGTTGAATCATCTTGAACCATTTTTTGCCACTCAAAATCCGCAGGTCTATGGGCAAATCAGCATCCAAGGAGCCAAATCTCCACCTCCATCAGAAGTTTGATGGCTTCTTCCTGCGTGAAACTAGGCTATTCTCAGGGTCTGTCAGGTGGGGGTACGGAAAATCATGTATGCTAATGGGTTGAAAACACCCATCATTGGGGATTAAACCAAACATCTTGTGGGAAATGATATAATGGGAATTGGGGATATGGATATAATGTAGAAAACCCATAGCCACAAAGCATCCCCAATTTCGCCAGAAATAGTTGGTATAAAACCCTCCAAATAATATCAAATGGTTTGTTTCCCATGGCATAGTTTACCGGAGAGGGTTGAAACAAATCACTTTCATATATAGAGGGGCCCACCTTGTCCGAAAAAAAGGTTTTCAGCCACTCATATGGTGAGGTGCCCTTGTAATTACAGTACATATGAAGGGAGCCAAAATAAACCAAACCTCCATTTATAAGGGATTTACCATTTGCCATGTTTGGTCTTCCTGCTGGTTGGTACCCCCTTTCCATCGGGCCCCATTTTTCCCAGGGCGGCGTTCCATCGCAGCTGGGATCCCCAACCCATGCGCCACCGGCGACACACGCCGCAATGGCTCGGCCAATGCCCAGCTCATCAGGCCTCGTCCGCGCAGGGCAGCCTTCACTTCAGTAAACCAAGGTGCAGAAAGCAACAGCCACCATTTCTTAGTGCATTTCCCGGGGAAACATGGGGAAACCATAAAAGCTCATCTCTATCTGATTGTTATACTGCAGGGATCTAAAAAGGGTGTTTCCTATGTTGATTGAGATCCCGATTTGGGCAAATAGTGGGCCCGAAACCTGCCTCAGCCAGGCAGAGCGGTTACAGCCCAAACAGGCTTGGCATCGCAGTATACCTCCCAAATAAACCCACCTCTTAGGTCCTCTTAGTTAGTTATCAAATGTTATCAACACGAATTTCAAACTCGTTGTCATTTAAGTATACTCAACTTGGATGGTTTAAGATACTTAAACATCTATAACAATCTTAAAATCACTAGCTTGTTCAAAGGGGGGGGGCCCTGACATCCCCAGTGTCACCATCCCCATGTCCCAGGCATCCGCACTCCATGCTGTTCCGATGCATCCGCCGCAGCAGCTGAGCTGCCTGGCGGGCAAAGATTGGATGATCGATGCGGGATGAACGAATATTTTGCGTGCGCGAGTTCAATTCAATGTGCTACTGTGCTAGTGGGTCTGACTGCTTTAGCTTTAGTTCATTTTAGTGGTATATGTTCCAAACAATTGACACATTGATCATGACTGGCTGGGAGTGCATTGATCCCCCACATAGCACCTAGGGGTAGTCATGGAGGACCATCATCCCTGGGGAGGTCATGCCATGTGGGTCTGTCTGAAAATAGGGTACCCCGAATTCCACCGATGGCCATCTTGTGACTTGACAATACCTCACACAGCAAGATTCTAGGATTTATCCCACTTATCCCATATGGATCAGACTTATGATTGGCTAAGGCTGTTAAGGTTTCCCACCACCACCCAGTTCCAACGGTTCCAAGGGTTCCACGGGTTCCAACTGCCCACCTCCACCGCTCCAGTACGCGCCATGGCGCCTAGCACCTGGAAGGTCGGTGCCAACTGGAATCAGAACCCGGTGGATGGAAAAAATCCAGCACCAGTTGATAGGTGGTTTATCTTTATCCATCTTTCTCCTAATATTTCTAAGGTTTCGACCATCCAAGGTGGTGCAGGACTTCTTGGGATTTCTTCCATCCACAGTATCCTCAACTACTGTACCCTCTAGTCATCACACATCTGTAACTCATCAAAGATTCCCTGGCGGCAAACAACTCGTGGCACCTCTGCGCATGCTGCAGCTTCCAGGTCCTCATCTGCATCTTGCCAAAGCTCTATGGCCTTTGCGGGGACTGGCACCTGGACCAGCTAGGCCTCGTTACCATGCACTATGAGCATATACAAGTCATAAATGCACATGTAAAGTCATATGTCAAATCACAAACCTAGCATGTATGAATATACAACTAATATCTATATACTATCTATCTGTCTGTCTGTCTATCTGTCTATCTAATTCTATCTATCTATCTATCTGTCTGTCTATCTATCTATCTATCTATCCATCTATCTATCTATCTATCGTACATATGTGTATATATATATATAGAGTACATAAACATCACCGCCAATAAAATATATCATACAATTAATTATTCAAAAACCTGAACATAGCTGCAATAAGGCCATTTGGAGATGATCCCCTCACTAACCATCATTCCAGTGACGTCACGGTGAGTTATAATTCATCCATATATATATATATATGTATATATATATATATAATTAATTATATATATTGTTCATACACATCCTCATAGATCTTCATATATACAGTGCAACATACAGTAAAATATACAAAAATTCCCTTGCGGCCCTGATCACCCAATTCATCTCTTGGACCGATAGCCTCCTTCCAGCTTCCTTTCTTGCGTAAGCTCCGCAGGCGCTGCGCCAAGGGGCTGGAAGGTCGCCTGAGATCTATGGATGGACCTGGACTGATAATTTGATACTGGCACCAGTAGTACCGCACAGTGCGGTGGCGGAAGTTTCCAAAATAGGAAACCTATAGGAGAGGTTGGTTGTTGTGAATCACGGATGGCAGGGCGAATCCACTGATGAACCAAAAGGTGGTTGAAGTTGTGCTTTTGGGGAGGTTGCAATGGTTGCAGTGGTCACCTCACCCACAGTGTAGTGCAGCTGTAGTTGTAGTTGTAGTTGTAGTTGTAGTTGTAGTGTGGTGTAGTGGACTTGTAGCTGTGATGTGTAATAAGTGTAGTGCAGTTGCACTTGTAGTTGTTGTTGTGGTGTGGTGTAGTTAGTGTAGTGTATTGTAGTGTACTGTAGCGTTGTGTGCTGTAGTGTGGTATAGTGTAGTGTAGTCTAGTGTAGTGCAGTGTCAGGTAGTGTAGTTGTAGTTGTTGCGCGGTGTAGTGTAATTAATGCAGCGTCGTGCAGTGCAATTTAGCGGTAGTTACAATTGTAGCTGCAGCTGCAGTTGTAGTTGTTGTTTTAGTGTAATGTAATGTAATTAGTGTAGTGTAGTTCAGTGTTGTGTAATGAGTGTAGTTGTAGTTGCATTTGCATTTGTAGTTGTAGTATGCTGCAGTGTAATTAGTGCAGTGTAGTGTAATGTGGTGTAGTTGATATTGTTGTTGTAGCTGTGGTAGTAGTAGTTGTTGTAGTTGTTGTAGTTGTAGTGTAATTAGTGTAGTTTAGTTTAGTGTAGCGTAACTATATACGCAAGTAAAAACACATATCATATGCGTTTGTAAAGAGATCTGCATACTTGTGTCTCATTCCAACTGGTGAGTTCTTCAGGTAAAAATCATAGGCATTCTTATTGCATGAGGGGCCAGTTCGTGGGTCCTGATTTTATCAATGGTGGCGCGGCTAAGTTGTTCAAGCAGAAAGACCACTGGCAGCCGCTGGCATCTTTGCACCCTTCCAATTCCAGTCCACTGGCAAAAATTATCTAAACTGAAAAATAGGACACTACGCCAAGAGAATGTACTTCCTTGAACCCCATTCTTGCAACTTGTTTCTGCAAACAAGAATTGGAACGCTTTCTGTTGTGCTGCCAGGAAGGCGTTTCTTTTGCCTCGCTGGGTTTGGCATCCTCCGGCGCACCTTTGGCCCTTCAGGCGTGGCGCCGGGGGGGGCGGCTCTTTGTACAAGTTCGGGATTGCATGTCGACCCTGGACACCATTTCAATATACAATGGATATATTTGTATGCGTATATAAATGTGTGTATATGTATGTATATAATAAAAATAGTTAATAATAATAATAGTACCAGTACTGTAATAATAAAATAACTTAATAATAATAATGGGTTTATCTGAAACTTAGGGTACACCAAAACCTAATAGTTGATCATCATTCTCCCAATCAAACTCGCAGGGGGATGCCCGATTCTGAAACAGACCCATTCTGTATTATATTTTGATATAGGTACCCTCTGGTAAACTAACATAACTATGGAAAATCACCATTTTTTATGGGAATATCAACTATAAATGGCCATTTTCAATAGCTATGTTAGTTTACCAGAGGGTATATGTCAAGAAGCAATATCTATGGCCATGTTAGGCTATATTGGAACGCCCCAAGCAAAACACCCCAGGGCGTTCTCCCGTCCAGGGTCGACATTGTCCACCCTGGGCATTAGCTGATCTTGATGTTTCGGCTGGCCCCACAGGAGCCTACTTTGCCTGCAGGCCAGTGGAAAAGCTGCAATATGCCTGTGGTCTGCTTGTCTAGCCATCTAGCCATTTTTTTCTAAAGCTCTAGCCATTGTTGTGTGAAAAAAGCTTGCTTTCATTGCGGAATTCCCACCATCCTTGTCTTTGGTCATAGCATGTCATAGCCAAACCCGGCCCTCAGCAATGCAGCATAATGCGGCCAAGCATGCCACGATCTTTCAACAGCATTGATGATAGCTGAGCCTTATGGATTGGCGGAGAATGGTAAAGGTACCAAATGGTGCAGCCTACGCCAGCCTTTTGCATCCAAACTGACGCGCGGACAGATTTCACAAGTTGCGCGTCCAACATCCAGTCATGTTCACCGTTCTCAGATTCCGGAACCCAAAAAGTACCACCAAATGTGGGTGTCGCAATAATCAAATACAACCCAAATAGCTGCACCTCAACGGCTTTTCTTCTTGCACTACCTATTTTTCCCCATTTCCCTCTTCTGTCCAAGACGCAGGGCCACACTTTGCTGTAGAAAGCAGTTGATCCAATGATGGAGGCGCCTTGGTCTTTTTCCCTTTCTTGGCCTCACCAAAGAGCTGGTCAAAGTCTGACTCTCCAGGCCCCTTTTCTCTGCCAAGCCTGGCCAACCCGCGCCTTCACACGGAAGCCTCTTGAAGACGCCATTCTGGATGGTCCAGAGGCAGGATGCACCCTGTAGCCGGACATGCTGCGGCGTACTCTTCACTACCAGGAACGTATAAGGGTGACCTCTGGAAAAAGGGTGTTGGCACGTGGTAGCCTCACACTTAGGAGGAGGTTCATCTTCCTGCATGCAGCTGTTACTTCACCAATGAAAGCCGAATCATCTTCCAAACAGCTGCTTTCGGGTTTTATGCTGTTGGATTTAAAGTGGATAGATTTATTTAATGTATTTAAGTGGAAATCTACCCCAACATATAGAAGGTCCTGCCATTTGTTCTATCATCATCCATCATCTAATTCCAACATAGATAGGAGAAAACATCCATCTGATTAGCACTTATTAACCAATTCCAATAGATAGATAGGAGAAAACATCCATATTATTCACCATTAGTAACCATTATAAACCACCCATCATGTTATTAAGCATCATATTTTCAACCATTATAACTCTGATATACTCTGATTAACCACATCATTAAGCACCCAAGGAACTCCTACGGGTTCAGTCGTACGCCGGCCGGCCTGGCTGACCTTGCAGGTGCTGTGGCTGCACGGCTGGGGCTCACTTGCTCCAGGTCCAACGTCTGGCAGGTGACTCTCTGGGTCCAAATCATCCAGGCGGGGAAAAAACATGCCAAAACTACTTTTTTATAATTTGTAAATACACAGGCATTATATTGATATATAAAAATATATACATAGAGAAATAAATAATGAATAGTTGTTTAATGCGTAAAACATTAAGTTTGTCCGACAATTTCCCATCACTGCCCAAGATCAACACAATACCACCTTGCAATGGGAAAATATGTTGTATCATAGGCAACTAATCATTGTGTTGCCGATTTCCGAAATATTCTAGTCGCACAATTTCAAACATTTATAAAATATAAATCCCTAACCATCCCAACTTGATTGGGGCTCTCGTAAGCGTTCGGGACCTCGGGGAGCACTCCCCGAGGTCCCAACATGCTAACCAGATCTCACAAGGGTTCCAAACTATCTATCCCTTTTGATTCAACCGTTGCGCCCCCGAAATATGACAGGATATTCGACAATGGTTGAGGATAAGACGAAGGAACCCTTCAGCTGTTAGATTGTGAAGCTCTGTAGCATCTAGGGGTCAGAAATCAGCTGGTTGAGAGGTGCGGCTTGTTCTCCGCACCTGATCACAACTGCCATGATGAAGTAAGTAAAGAATCAAATTGGCTATCATTTGGTATTTCCCGGCTTCCCTCCAACCTATTTGACCTATTGGTAGGGTTCCAGAGGTTACAGGGGCGACTCTGGCAATGCTTAAAGATCATTTGGGATTGGTCAAAGATACATCTTATGCACATGTTGTTTTATTATCCTTCCCGACTGCTATTGACTGAATCTCCTACAGTAGGTGTTTTTCCTTATTTTGTTTGGCTCTCATATTCATTCCTGTCCCGCTTCTTTTGGGCTGTTGATTGGTTGTTTTTGCTTTTGTTGTGCGTGTCTATGTCTTGTAGCGTCACTGCTGTTTCAAAAGCACGTTGCTTTTCAATTCCGGCTGGATGGCTCTGGATTTCAGTTGTTTTACATTTGTTTCCCTTTAGATGTCATCGGGCTGGGTGCTTGTGAGCCAAGGGTGAAAGACCATTATATTTGTCAAGCTGACCCGTCCTGTCTATCTGCCGCCGATAATTACTATCCCAAGATTGTGGCCTGGACTCGCGCACGCTTTTTGCAAGTGTATCTTTGATATTAACTTATAGTATTACAGGCAATTTTTGCATCCAAGAAACAAACAACTACAGAAAGCGCTTCAAAACTGCAAATCTTTACGGCCAAGCCCACTGGGACGAGCCGAGGTCACCGTTTTTCTGAATGTATACTCACCTTTTGATGTAGTCAATATTTGCCAACAAAAACAGTGCTTTCAATTTGCGATATGCTTGTATACAGGCAGGCTTCTTTGAGGGCTGTATGGCTTCTGTGTTCCTTCACATTTGCAAACATTTGGTAGGCTATTTACTTGGTTGCTCATTTTGATAATGACTTCACTCTTCACAAATGATATCAGTAAGGTAAGGCTGAAAGCATTTCTTGCACAAGTTCTATACAGTATTCTACTTTGTAGATTAGCCTACCAGGGGGAACAATGGGTCAACCCCTGCTTACTCATCCATGCCTTTCATCAACCTCCAGTACCAGTGTGGGCTGGATCCTGCTGTTCTTCAGGCTGCTTTTAACAAATACAAATACAATCAAATACATCATATTTCTTTTACGTAGTCCCGGTCATTCCTAAGCAAAACTGTAAGCATGTGTTGCTGATGCGCAATGCGGCTCATGGTTCCGTATTGACAAAGGACAAGGTGTTTCAAGCACGTTTTTGTGACAAAGTCCTGTATTTGTTTATTGCTGAATCGATATCTCTCACATACCATGTCGCTAAACAGGACCCACTAACAGTTGGAACAAAGACAATGAATCTATTCATGGATTTTCTTAAAGATTGCATGCCGCATTTGATTTGTCACCCTGCCTGGGGGATAATGTTGAACATACTGGATTGGATTGGCTAAATATGGCTAAATGTTATGTGGCTGAGCCATACCGAACCCTGCTAGGATTGGCCCTCCAAATGTTTCCGACGGGTTTCCGACGGCGGTACCTCAAAAGCTCCTGATTTGAGGGCCCATGTAAGTGTTTCCGACGGGTTTCCGACGAGTTTCCGACGGGTTTCCGACGGGTTTCCGACGGGTTCCCGACCAGGTTCCCGACGGGTTTCTGATGGGTTTCCGGTTCCGATGGGTTTCTGATGGGTTCCGACGATTTACGAAATCCTATGTGCTCTCACATGAAACGCCGCAATGTTGCATGAAATAGAGCTACCTAAATACTAAATTGTTGAAACTCCCAGGGCGAAACTACTCCGGTGTTGGTCTGAACCATGGGTTTTAGAGGTAGAGTTCGAAAACTGGGATGACCTGGCACAAGACTAGGATCAACTTGTACGTTGCTTCCCAGCCAGCTATTGAACCCATTCAGTTCCCCTAATATGTGATTGATTCGTTAACATGTGCTTTCCCTGTTTATTTTGTTTGTTTCTCTATCTTCATCTTTACTGTACATGTTTCCTTGATTTGAATTTTGATTTGTCCGTTTTATATGCATATCTATTCCTTTGGTTTTCTTGGACCTTGTTGTTCACTTTGGGGTTCCTTTTGGATACCTTCCTGTGGATATCCTTTGTGCTCGTTTTGGACCTTTGCTGCTATCCTTTTGGAATCAGGACTCATATTCATGGCTGAAATTACCAATCTTTGGATGCATTCAGTTCCTATATAATTTGGAGCCGCGAGGTCGCAGTCCCTGATGATATTTCCCTATAGTCAAAACATGCTTCCCCTTTCTGGAACAATGTGGGCAATACCTGACTTGTGTGACTGCTACATGCTTGAAAAGGAGTTTAGAAATCATCCGTTACATGCATTAAGACGAAATCTACTAAGTTTCCACTAGGATGCATATGCCATCTAATCTAGGCTTTGATACGGAGCCAAATGGGCGTACATGGGCGTACTTTTCCGTACAGTATATGTGCGCGTACGCTTTTGGATTTGACTTGCGCAATATATGTATATAATTGTATATATCAGTGCAAGGTTTCAATCCTTCAAACACTTGGTGTTGTTTTTTTTCGTTAGCTTCATCAGTGCATCTTGTTGGTTGATTGTTCTTTTTAGGATTGCCTCACACAAGATGTCGCTAAGCCGAGGCAAATAAAATAGCATCATATATAGAAAATTACTGTCGAATTCCCTTGTAAATGTCGTTCATTTGAAAACAAACGCTGGAATATTTTGAAATATAGAATCTACCTGGCATTTGTTGCCTTCTGTAGCCCCACATGGGCTAGATCCGTGCATTGCTCTGTGCGACTTGTTTGATTGCGGTTTTAATTTTCGACCAACAAAAAAACTGCTGGGACAAACAATTCAAAGGGGTGTTCCACAAAGAATTTTGGCTGAAGAGCCGGCCTGTTTGTCTGGATTATATATGTATAATTAAGCCTAAGCAGCATGTACTAGACAACATTTGGTAATATTTGTTGTATATATATATATATTATACCTATTAAACATTTCACGCCAAAAATCTCTCCTGACAATTTCTGTGATGCACTGGTGGTTCCTGGCTGCACTGCAAAACAGATAACAAGATGAAAATGCACAAAAAAATGTCAAACTTGTGTAGTTTATGACGGGCATGTCCATTGATCATATTGAGCATGTTTTGAACACGTATGAACAAATTAATTGTCAATCAGTTTTTATCAGTTTTTGGTACCTCGGTACCTCGGCCTATGTTCCCCGAGGGCCCCGACCCCTCCCTCAGAGGTTCGAGGTACCGACCCCTCACTCAGAGATACGGGTATCTCAATACCAGGTGCCAATGATTCTTAGGGATATACAAATTAAACATAAAAAAATAATCTATCTCTCTCTCTCTCTCTCCATCACCCTCTCCAAGAGTTCAGCCTGTATAATGATGGAATGAGGGTACACCCCCCCTCCAATACAAAAGTTAAGTCATGGGGATGATTTTCTATTGGCAGGTTGGATTGCAGAAGGGCACATCACAAGCACAGCACGCTGCCTTCGAAAGATAGTGGCGACTCAAGCGTTCCGCCCAGGAATCGTCTGCCTGGGCTGCGTGCTGGGGCTGGGTGCCGAAGTGCCGAAGTGGACTCAAGAGATCTCAAGATGACTCAAGTGTAATCACAAGATATCACAAGTGGGTATATATGTGTATATACATATATATATATTATATATATATATATACATGTGTGTGTGATTATATATGCATATATATAAATCATATATATATATAATATATACACTATATAATATAAACACTATAACAACTGATGAACCAGCAAAGTGTGATGAATCACAGGGGATTTAGGTGCAAAAAAAAACTTGCTGCCATGTGGCATCGTTCGTATCCATGCTGAAATTGAAGGCAGACAAATCCTTCTGCACAGCAAGCACCACCTGCAAAGAATAGCATCCCATGTGCCAATCTTCAGGAAAAATGCATCATGTTCGTCTATGTTCCTCTGATATTCCATGCGTTTTCCATTTACATGTCCATTTACTCAGAATTTTCCACCAACCAATGCACATTTTACACCAGCCCCCAGCCTCTGAGCGCGCCAGGGAAGGCGCTGTGAGTTCCTGCAGTTCCTCGGGTTTCAACGTGGTGACCGACTTCGAGTCCTGGAGCCGTGGCTTGTTTTTCCGCGTAGAGCTGCCAAAAACACGAATCTTGGTCTGTTGGGGGTCGACATTCCAAGGGAAATACACAGAGCACCAGGGTTCCAGGATTTGAAGCTGTCTGCTTCTATCTTGTCATACCTCGGAAAGGGTTACCCAATGTTTCAATAAGTTTTTTTCAACACGTCTGAAGCGCTTGCAGCTCAATGTGACAAGATGCGACACGCCAGTTAGACTGTGTGACGAATGGCCATCAGTCCACTCAGTGACCCCCGAGCTTCCCCCGGGCACTGGCCTCTCGCTCGACAACAGAACCGTCCACCATGCAATACCTGTCATGGACGAGCCTTTCATCTATATAGGGACTTCTATATAATAATTAATGTACATGTGAATAATCCCATCCACCTGATATTAAACACCCCATTCATCCCCATTCTATGGTCCCAAACATGTTTAATTAAATTCCATGGAAATGCCATGACAAAACCATGGTTTCTGGAAGGGTGCTTTATTAATGAGGATGGGACATGATGGGACTATATCCATGATATCCACCAGAAATCCTCCTGGGATCTCTGGTACCTTGGCATCTTCCTGGGCACAACTTTTTGCGCCTTAGGTGGCCCGCAGGGACCGAGGTGGGCCGGGAAATCACGGGGGTTCTGTGAGTTGTGCTGAAAATATATGTGTGTAGCAATGTGTAGCATAGTAAGCCACAAAAAAGATATAGAACTTCTGGAAATTACCACTCATTTAGAATGGCACCTCACAACTGGTTTAGTAGGATTTGTGCAGAGTAACCACCACTTTTAGTATTTTAAGTAAGATTTAGATTTTAATTACCTGGAAAGCGGCGGAAAAAGGAAAACAATACGGCACAGATCAATGCCTTAAAAAAAATTGCCATATTTGTCTAAATTCATGCTAAACCCCCAAGAAATCAGCATCCCTATGAGTGGTGTGATAGATTCCTCCACATTCTCAACAGCTGAAACTACCCCCGACATACGGAAATCGCCCGAAACTGGACGGGTAATTCAGCTCCAGCCGATCCCCTTGGCCGCTGGTGCTTGGCACCAGCAAAATTCATCCACTGCAGGGAATCAACAATGTATAAATATATATAATATATATATATATAATATATACCCTATTGTATGGATCCAAACACTGTCTCAGAAGGTACTTAACCCCCTAAATCATACCCAAACACTTCCTAGGAAGGTACTTGGATCCATGGGGATATATATCAACATACACAATTACCCAAGCTACGCCTTTAAAAAGAAATGTAGCAGGCCCAGGTTTTGACAAAGACGACACCAAGATACCAAGCGGATGACCTCCATCGGCGTCCGCGGTTTCCAGCGATGCGCCACATGTTGAGGGCTCTCATCTTCTGAGCTACTGGAGCTGTCGTTCTGGCGGTGGAGGGAGGATGGGAGGATGGGATGAGTGGAGTTCACACCCATGTTTTGAAGGATAAAACTGATGGGAGGATGATTGTAGAACTTTACAGGACTTTGCCGGGATCATGTTTGGTAAATTTAAGTACGTTTAGGAAACAAAATCGTGGAGGGGTAATTAGATTATACTTTGAAATATTCAGAATTAACTCTAGGTACGCTGACAAAATACTGCAATCCCGATGAATTGTATGGCGTAGAATTATGATGTATTATGAATACATTATGAACTCTATATATAATACAAAAATCTATAAAAAACTACTGAGCACGGATCATCACTAAGTTCAAGTATCGAGTCGTTAATTAGCATCGATAGGGTAACATGGGACCGCGCTAGACATAGGCCTTGTCATGAGGGAGCAGTTATAAAGTTTTCAGACCTTTGGAAAAGGGCGATCCTTGAGATTGGCAGTTGTCGTAAAAAAAATACCACTACCTGGGGGCGAATCCCAGTTAGCGAGTGATAATCATAACTTAACCCAAATACATGTGCGTTATAGATGGCTTGTATCATAGATAACTATCATATTTCCCAGGATGTAATATAGCCCACTTACTAGCTGGGATGCACATCCCAGTACACATTCTACTAGCTGCCATAGTTACTGGCTCTCTGGCGAGCTAAGCTAGCATCGGACTGGAGTATGCATCACTTTGCGTCGGCAAAAGTGACATTTGCTGCGATTTTCTTCCGTGTCAAACACTGGGAAGTACGAGCAACCTTGCACTGCCTTGCACCATCTCATAATCTTGGTACGTCAAGAATAACAGCATCAATAAAAGTACACTCATATTCATACACGCTATGCGAATTATAGTGCACATATTGCCAACACGCGCACACACACATCATTTTCTTATGTGAGATCATATGATATGCGCAATATCCTTCATAATATATACATCCGAACACTGTGTCTATCCCTGTCCAAGATCCAACCGAAAGCCTCACCTCCTTGGTGGTGGGACTGGGATTCATCCATTTATCCAACAACTTCACGGCCCTTGACTTCACCTGGAATGTGCTTGGGAGATGACGTAAGGGGTTGTCTGAAAAATGAGGCTACAACCAAGCTAGCTATGTTAGTTGGAAAATGATGATCAAGCATTGAATTCTTGGAGCAGCCAGAGAGCAGCCCTGTTATTTTTGGATACATTCATAATCATTCATATATTATATGATGTCATTCCAAGAGTTTATGGCTGAGCCATTCAGCCATTCACCGGACCAAACTATGGGATTTCCAGGAATTTTTGGTTTTGAATCGTCACTGACCGGGGAAGCTTCAGGACCCAAGTTCTTCCACCCATGGAGAGAAAAAAAAAGGAAGCTTAGTTTGCAATCTTTGGGATTCTTACGCAGCACTTGGATAGTGCCGGAATGTACCTGATGATTGTACGCCTAGGATCTTTAGAAAAACACAATGCCTAAACTAATCATCTGATATCATCTGATACATTACCCGGTTACATCGGTTACCCATGCTGCACATTTGGAAAAACCCCAGCTGGGTTTGCTCCGCTGCGGAGCACCACGATGATCCCGTGGCCGGCGCACTGTGGTCTGCATCGAAGCCCGTCGCGCATAGCTCACACGCTGTTCGCTGGAGACGCCAACCGAGGAAGGCCGTGGTGATAGCGCAGGTCTGGTGGCTGAGTCTTGGGTCGAAAGTGCCTCAGATTGTGCCATATGAAAAACCCAACGTGGCATATGAAAAACGTGATGTCAGGGAATGTGAAAACACGTGGAACCCCAAACATGGCAATCTGGTTAACATAAAGTGTCTGGATTCAGAATTGATTTTTTGGTGCATGCCCCATGCCACATCAATTTCAGAAGGGACAAAGCAACGACATCCATCATGGGGATTTAGTCACCCCTAAACACGACGAGTTGATGAATATGGTTATTAATCACAAACAGCAACTTTTTTGAATGCTTCACTGACATGAATTGACATCTATTATTGTGGGAGGCAGCTGTTTTTTTGGTTTGCTTATCATCCCCATTCTCTCCCAATCATAGTTGCTTTTACAGGCGTTGATACATGTCCTAATTGAACATCACCCTTGGCGATATTTCATCTCCAACAGATATTGCGATTGGTGATGTGAAAAAATCCCACAAAAGTGGAGTAGAACCAAGCCCTCTTTCACAAACCACCATGCTTTCCATTGTTCAATGGGAATTTCATGTAAGGCTATATTTTGTGGGGATAGTCCTTATATACGTGGGTCTGATATTATAGGCCCTTTATATGGTAAATACCTCCAATTTAGGTCCTGAAATGGCCATTGAATTGTTGAGTAAACCAAAACAATTGATAGCCATTTTGAAGATGAACGAGCTGCCGGAGTCACATCCTCCTCCATGTCCAGGCTCCAGTCATCAAGGAAATCCACCTGGCCCGAAGTCAAAATGTATTGGTCTATGATCTCACGATTTTCATAATGACCTATCATTACTGTTGTTAGTGGTAGTGGTAGATTGTTCTCATTATCATGATGATTGTAGATATACCTCAAGTTAAACACGATACTTTTGTTCTCATATGTTCCAACCTCCTCAAGTCCAGTTTTATTTGTTTTTTCTCAGCAACCTGAGGCAACCTTTCCGGGCACTTCCCAGGTCCCAGCACTGCCTCCTTGACAGACAGAGAGCCCTCTCCACCAACATCCAAGGCTTGGAAGAGCTCCCTGAGGCGTGGCTCCATCAACATCTGAGCATCGAAGCATGACATGTCATTCCATTCAATCCTGGTTGATCAATAGAGATGGCCACAATGGATAATGACTGTCCCCAACGTATGTATTTTTTTAATACAGTATATATATATATATCTGTGTTTGTGTATATACTGTGTATATATATATATATGCATATAGGGTAGTATATATCATGATCCCCTATAATCATCAATCAACAGAGGTTTTGAACACTGTTGATCTTCACATCCAATCTTCAGTGGCCCTTCATTGCTCATAATATAGAATATATGGTTTTGTTATGATTGTTCTGGATCTCTCTCTCTCTCTCTCTCCATATCGCCTTCAGACCAATCTGCCTCAACTTAACTGTTGGGCGAGACATGCCGTGACAATACAATAATATATATATTCAATATATACAAGTATATATGTTTTAAAAAATATGGTTCTTGCTGGCAAAATATCGTATCATACGATTGTCTATAGAATCTGACAGTCTAGTCACCTAGTCTCTATCACACCCAAAGCCGCGCAGCCTTGAGGGTCCATCGTAGCCTGGCAGAGGAACTGGAATGCCAAGCACTTGTTGTTTTTGTCTTGGTGTGTACAAAGAATATTTGCACATCATACACGCATGATATAAGAAAAAATATGATATATTTGATTACATTCGATTACAGTATAATACAATCTTGCTTGCCCGAAGTATTGTTTCTGAATATGGAAACTACTTCTTTGGGTCTTCTGCCATCAGAAGTGACTCGTTTGGAAGAGGTCTAGAGGGTTCCTTGCCCAAGAATCGTTGCACAGCAATCAATCCTACATATAGACCGATATGGATGCGTACTATGTGCATATGATAATAATATGTATATATATATATATGTCTCTCTCTCTCTCTCAGCCCCTCTACTATACAAGAATGTGCAATATAATATATTATATATATCATATAGATACAAGAAACCTATACGTTTAATACTGGAGACACCAGAGCCTGAAATGGTCCTAGGTCAAAATCTGTAACATTGTTGGCCATCTAAAGATCATTGACCATTCAAAAGTAGGTGCATAAAATTTTTATATCAGCCCCAGACCCAAATTACAGCCACGCAGCCATAGACTTTCAGAGCGCCACGCCATTCCAAGAAACCTCGAGTACTCAAGGCACATGCCTCTCTCGTCCACCCAAAAAAAATAACAAAAGCAAAAGGTTCCTGTTGGCCAACACCACTATGCTCCTCTTCATCATTCTGTTCAGGGTTTTGGCTCAAAGTCTTGCCAATTTGGGGATTGGCATATCTGCGGCAAAATCAGTTCTTCTGGCTGGTGAATAAGAATATAAACATAAACATGCTCCAAAAATGCGTATGCCAATTCGATCCACTTTTTTCATCATGTTTCATCATTTTTGCATCCCCAATTGCCCATCACTTCATAATTCGGAATGAGAACTATGAAATAACAAAAACAATTTCCATCATTGTCCATCCGTTTGTTTGGCACTGATCATTTGGAATCTTTCCATGATGACCATCCAAGAGACTGAGGCTATTGGACTTGTCCTTATCAAAGGTGGTAAAGAGCTGCCGTACCGAGCCGAACCTTCGGAAGGTTCGTCATGGAACCCAACTGGTTTTTGTCGAAGGCTGGATCTTCATTGGATCTTCATTTCCCAACTATCCATGCCCATTTATCAACTTACAAGGCATGTACATGCATGTACAACATTATAGAACATATTAACTGATGATACCAAATGGATCCAAATGGTATATGTTATGCGGTGTCAAACCAAGCATCGGATATCGTGGTATACAATGGAATTGTCCAATATTCCAAGATATCCCAAGCGGATATACCCGAATAATGCCAAATGTGCCCTCAACAAGCAATCAAATTCTTGCGATGTTCTCTGAAATTCTGGCCATGTTTACTTTCCAGCTTCTCAATATATAAAAATACATAACAGCTACCGGAAAAATCAACTTCATATGATAATGCAAAGTTGAACTCTGGCAAAGAACGTTTCTGTGACAATCCAGGGGGGAACCATGACAAGCATCTCAATAACCGAGCTTTATAGGAGAAATATTATGAAATAGGCGGGGGGATATGTTCAATGGCTTGGTTTAAGGGGAAACTAACATGAAACAATGGGATTTGCCATCAACTTTCGGATTTCCTGTAGAGGATCCTTTAAACCGATTCTGGGAATATCTCGGAATAGTACTTCTGGAGAATGCTAGGTGCAGGCTAGACATAATGTAAACACTTCCACTGCGTGGTTTAGACCCAGAACCAAGGAACTCTGCGATGGCCCAGCGGCGAAATCCCAACAAGACCTTCGAGGCATTTTCGTCCAGTTCTTTGAGGCTGATGTATCCTGCGCCGCCATGGAGAAACTGGATGAAACTGGGACACTGAACTATAGCATAGCAACTTCAAAAGATATCGGCATACTCCAAGTTGAAAAAAATGAAAATAACACGGAACATCGGAATGCTTGGAAATTCTTGGATCTTCAGGTGATATATATCCTACTCACCCATTGTTTTTCTCAAAAAAAAAATTGGGCATCCAACAGAGAGAACCAAGGTGCAGCCCAGAAAAGTGGGACTCGCAGCAATGATTCGAATGGGCATGGATTGAACTGGTAGGGCAGTAAGATTCGCATAGTGACCCAACCACAGATCACCTAGTCTCACCTAGTCTCCCAGTGGACATAGTTTCATTGACCTTGAACAAGTTGCTGCTTGAAAGGTGGCAGTCAAACAAGGTGCCAGGCTAATGAAGGCGTGAGCTATGAGCTATTCCCACCTTTCAAATCTTTCAAGTGTCAGTCAAGTGTCAGTCTCACCATGAAATATTTCGGGAGGGACCTAACCTATTAAACTAATCCTCTTATAATCCTATTATAACATGTTTGGAGGTGAGCATCCATGAATCCGAGATATATCGCCCTGTCATAGCTTGGCATGCCCCCATGTTTTTTCGGCTCAAGGTCCAGAAGACACCCGGGACCTGACAGATCTTCATCAAACGCACGCCAGGCACCACCAATGTTGCCACGGAAGCCCAGGACCCTGCAGGCGTCCTGGACGAGTTTTCAGGATTGACTACGGGTTACGGGTACCCTCTCGTAATTTAACATAGCTATTGAAAATCAACATTTTTAATGGGAAAATCCACTATTAATGGTCATTTTCAATAGCTATGTTAAATTACTAGAGGGTAAACATGTTGAGGCTTGGGGGGAAAATTCACTAGTTGGACGCATAAAAGAAACTGGTGGTTTCCTGTCAGTCGCGGTGAAGGATCTCGCGCCTGAAATTCGTACCAGTTGCAGCGGTTGGTGTTATCCTTGTCCAGAATTCGTTTCCAGCCCTTCAAGTACCGCGTCATCTTTGCCTCACACGCACTACATGCTGCCTGTGGGTGTTTCCGAAACCCCCAAACAAAGACTGTGGTTTTCCTGCACTTCCCTACGGTAAATGGTTCCTGTACCGCACATGTAGGCCCATTTTGCTGGAATATGATGGATTCATCAAACAACCCACCTGAGCAAAAATTGGATTGTTTCAGCTTGAGAAAAGGGTGAAACTCGATCATCAATCAGCCGCTGTTCGGCAACAGCTGCAAGCTGAGAACTCGGCAAGGAGCAAATCCTTGAACTCCTAGGGCTGATGATTCTGGCTTGATGAGTTTATTCTGACCGGCATATCGCCCCAAGGCTGGACAATTCTGGAAGTCTGGTGCAATGGTGGATGCTGCTAGAGTCAGTATAGTCTACATCCAGGAAGAAAAAGAGAGGCTATGGGACAAGGGGTTCCATCAGTTAAAGAAAAACTGTGTGCACCAAAGATTTTCACGCACCGGTAAGATGTCTGTGGATGGGATCCGTCCCAGCCAGAACAGATCCCGGCGAACACAGGCCAACAACTTCAACTTTCGGCATTTTAGACGGCAGGACATCCCATGTTTCATCAACATCTTTCAACAGCTCGGGATATGCCCGTGCTTCAACAACCTCCCGCAAGATTTTGAGGAAATTCCATACTGTTCCGACAAGAAGAGTCAGTCCTGCTTGGCGTTGTGATCCGGAGATACGAGCAGAAACTCTAAGGGTTGCCATTTCCTTGCGCAGGTTGAACCAGAATCAGCCAGCTCCAGAACCATCGGATATTATCCGACTTTGCTCCCAGGTGCTCAAAGAACATTGAAAGAACTATCGAAATGCGCAAGGCTGACTGAAGCACACAGTTCCATCCAATGCCAAGCATCTCCAAGAAAATGAGATCGTCCATTTCCAGTTTCCCATTCGCGTCCTGGAAGGGTTTGGGATGGTTCAGGTTTATAACTTTATAACGATCATACACCTGACGCGGTCTTATTCGCCTGACGGTCGGCTGTTGATTTGGCTTGGGGAGACTTGAAATCTAAAGCAGCCAGTCTGAACAAAGCATGCCCGTGTAGCCAGCAAATGCTAGTAGTAGGACTTTTAAAACATCTTTCCGTATAGAAATAGCACAAACATAGTCCTCTCATTCCTTTCCATTCGTTCTTGAGCTAGGCCTTCTCTCCAATTGCAGCAGCCCCTCTATGATTGAAGTGTTTGAAATACCGTAACCAAATCCAGATTGCCAACCATTCCATCCGCCCTTTCACCCGTCGTTCCTTGTCCAACATGTGGAACCTTAGTTGCCCAAGGAATTTCCAGAATTTTCCAATGAAAATTCGGCTCATTGGGCACCATCCATCTTGCATTTAGGCTATCGAACATGTATTCTATAACTATTAATACCAGGACGAATAGGGATACATCATATCATCAAACATGAAGATATTGACCACAAGTGACCGGTGTTTCTGGAAAATATTAAGTCAAATGGGTCATGACTCCACTTGTACCCCAGGTACTAAAGCATAGTCATAGTCTAGTGACTAGTGGAAATATAATGAAGTAAACGGTATCTCACCAGCCAAATCGATTCACATCCCGAGCCCCGTAAAAAATCGTAAAGATGGATCCCATCTCTCACATATGCGTCGCCACAAGCGTAAGCAGAGGTGATGACGGGTGGTGACAAGTGGTGACAGTCCTGGTGACAGGTGACAAATGCTTCGTTTTCCGCGGGAAGTTGTAGGTCCTCAACGCCTTGTCGAATTCGTTCACCGAGATGTTCTTGGTGTTGTCTTCCTGGTCATGGCATTTGATAGCCAATGGCCATGACATGGTGTACCACCGCCGCGTGAAGTCACAAGTGCATCTGATATAGAATTGTATTTGCTCGCGAGACATGGATCTGAATCTGAAATAATCTGAATATTTGCGGATCTTCAGGAAGGATGGGTAAAACTTGGGGTTGACGTGTTTTCTTTGACAAATCCATGGAACCCTACATTGGCCCTACATGTCAAGGCTCGTCAATCTTTCGGAACGCATGGCGAATACCACCGAACTCATTGTCCACCCAAGCCTGCAGCCAGGAAAACAATACCGGGGTGATGTTCACTCATACGATTTTTTACATCTCATCTCAAATCACAGGCTCAGTTTCCAATTCAAGCCCCAAGTGGGAAGCTTCTGCTCCCTCTGGTAGAGGTTCAGTTGTGTTCAGCTCAAGTCTCCAGGACTCCATGCTGATCATGATGGCGCATCAACTTGAGTTATCTTGAGTTGCCCGCCTTGAAATGCGCCAAATTTTCCGCCCCCTTGGTCCGTTGGAGCAAAATGGACAAATGCTGGGTCAGCCTGTCAAGAGCCAAACCGAGCCAGGGCAAATTCATGGAACCTGGATGTCGATTTGGGGGTTGCCAAAAAATCTGTCAAGAGATTTTCATATAAATTTTAAAGCCATCATAACCCCAAGCCAGCCAACATCCAACAGCTGAATCCCAGTGGCCACAGGATCCAACTCATCCAATGAGGCAGTGCCACTCTCATCCTGCACAACATGTTGAACATGTTCGGAGGTCTAGCCAGCGGAGATCGTTGGGTATCTTGGGATCTCCTTATCGTTGATATCGCCACCTAAAAGAAGAATTGCAGGACTCGAACAAAGCCAAGATTGCAAGGTCTTAAGATTCCTAAGGTACTAGTGGCGCGTGCAAACAGTACTCATTTTCCACGTTGACCATGGCTTCTCTCTGTTTCCAATATCTGAACAGCTGCAGAGTGACAAATCTGTCAGTACAGTAGTGTACATGAAATCACACCCCTAAGATGTCTATGGACAATCCACGCCAGCAGATTTGGCGCAAATCACCAGGAACGCCTTCCAATTCTTGTCTGGAAGCATATCCAAAAATCAACCTCTGCAGGCTGCTTGGCAAAGTCACATCTTCGAAATTCTGATTGAACAAATCACCAAAGGTTAACGTCTGCAGGCTGCTTGGAAGTGCCACACCTGCTAGACTATGACAAAATCTCCATCCGAAGATTAACGACTGCAGGCTGCTTGGAAGTGTGACACCTGCTAAACTCTGATTGTAAGAAATTCCAAAGGTCAAAGTCTGCAGGCTGCTTGGCAATGTCACACCTGCCAAACTCTGATTAAAGTAATCTCCAAAGGTCAACATCTGCAGGCTGCTTGGAAGCGTCACACCTCTTAAACTCTTATTGAAGCTGTCTCCAAAGGTCAATGTCTGCAAGGTCATTGGAAATGTCACACGTGCTAAACTCTGATTGAACGAATCTCCAAATGTCAATGTCCGCAGGCTGCTTGGCAATGTCACCCATGCTAAGCTCTGATTGAACGAATGTCCAAAAGTCAACGTTTGCAGGCTTCTTGGCAATGTCACGTTTGCTAAACTCGTGTTATTGTACGAGTATCCAAGTGTCAACGTCTGCAGGTTTTTCAGCAACGACACGTGCGTCAAAGACTTATTGACAGAATTACCAAAGGTCAACTGCAATCCCAAGCTGCTTGGCAATGTGACACCTTTCAAAACCTTGCGAAATCCATCGCAAATCTTCAAAGTCTGCAGGCTCCTTGGCAATGTGACACTTGCTAAGCTCTGGTTGAACCGTTCTCCAAAGGACAAACTCTGCAGGTTGCTTGGCAATGTCACACCTGCCAGACTCTGATTAAAGTAAGCTCCGAAAGTCAACGTGTGGAGATCGCTTGGCAATGCAACACCTTCCAAACTTTGATCGAAACAACTTCCAAAGGTCAACTTCTTCAGGCCTGTTGGCAATGTTACATCTGCTAAACTCTGATTAAAGGCCACTCCAAAGGCCAAACTCCGCAGGTTGCTCGGCAATATCACCCGCGCAAAACTCTTGTCGAATTCCACTCCAAGGGTCAACGTTTGCAAGGTTCTTGGAAACGTCACACGTGCTAAGCTCTGGTTGAACCGATATCCAAAGGTCAAAGTCTGCAGGCTGCTTGGCAATGTCACACCTGCCAAACTCTGATTAAAGTAATCTCCAAAGGTCAACATCTGCAGGCTGCTTGGAAGCGTCACACCTCTTAAACTCTTATTGAAGCTGTCTCCAAACGTCAAGGTTTTGAGGCCACTTGGCAGTGTCACTCCTGACAAACTCTTGTTGAAACCATGTCCAAAGCTCAACGTCTGCAAGCTGTTTGGCAATGTCGTACCTGCCAAACTCTGATTAAACGATGCTCCAAATGTCAGCGTTTGCAGGTATGGTGGCAGTGTCACATTTGCCAAACTGCCATTGAACCCATGGCTAAAAGCCAGAGTCAGCAGGCCTGTCAGCAATGACAGGCACGCCGGATTCTGATTGATTTGTGGCACACAGGTCAGTGAAACAATTGCATTTATTGCATTCAAATGTGCGGCAGTCAGTCTTGTCGTCGTCTCGGCTTCCATGGCTGTCTGGAAGCTTTGCCAAACCTCAGATACATGCATTCGCTGGATGACGAAACTGATTTCCTGATTCTGCACTTGTGGCAGCAGCGGTTCGGAGTTGTCCAGGATGCTGCAACCCGAAGTGAGCAGCAACTTTCTAGCTGCTTGCAGGCTGATCTTCTCTGAAATGTGCTTGTACACATCTTCCACCTTTGAATCATCATCAACTTGCATATGAAACGTTTGTCCATCCAATGCTTTGATGCTCAATGAGCTCTTTAGTTCCACTCTTGGTTCAGCCGCACATGTTTCCGCCACACGCTGCCTCAGATCTCACGTCGTAATTCGGGAAGCCGGGTGTTTTAGTAGGACGCGACAAAATCCATTGGCTGATTGATGGGAATTTCCACCAGGGAGTTTGACAATCACCAGCATTTTGGGTAATATAAAAGTTGTCAATGAAACTGCTCAATTCTGTTCCTCTAAACAGGGCCAATCATTTTTCTGCATGGACTGCATGTGGGTTTGTCTGAAAATAGGGTACCATGGGGTACCTCAAAATCCCCTTGGTTTAGAACCTCGTTTCCCCATCAAAATAGACATCTCACGGTACAAGCCTCTATTCTTCTTGGTGAAGCAAACCCATGTACTGTGTGGTAATCACCACTGCGGCGCCAAGCAACCGCTTTCTTTGATGCTCATTGTCTCCATCGCTGAGAGAATGTGAGGCCATGGTGTGAAGTCAGCAGGTGAAACACACTGAGAAGGCTCTTCAAACCATGAACAACTAGTGACTTACAGAAACAATGAGTAATGGGGCTGCTTTGCGATTTGTTTGGGCCACTAAGGGGATATAAAGCCAACAATGTGATGTAATGTTTCCTTACGGGAAAAAGAGGGGCCATCCGGCCAATGTACCATAATTTACCTCTTGGTATTCAATGCAAGTTACCCATCCCATTTTTTTTACCAATGAAAAAAACCGGGATTTGTATTGGACCTGCAGAAGTTTTGCCTGACTGGCCCTTGATTTCAAAGCTGAAACCTGCAACCGATCATACAGTAACAGATCTGAACCGTCTAAAGCAAGATCATTTTGAGCCATGTTCTACCCAAACAACCACTTTGGCTAAGGAACATATGTTATCCTTCGGTGCCCTGAAACCGTCAGGGACGAGATGATCATGATGATCCTGTTGCCAAAGCTGCAGGTATCAGTCTTTTTGCAGCAACCTTGACCCTTCTTGTTGATATTGGGTTCACAATCTTGAAGCCTCGTGTGGGTACAGGTCACGATGATTCCCAAGAATAATGGATGCGCTAATTGGATGGATCCCTTCATTGTTTTTCCGGGTATACGGATACGGTATACGCACCAACGATCCCCGAAAAATCGTGATTTTCTGAAGGATCAATCCAGTTTTTCCCTAATGACTTGTACGCGGATCCATTGGTGCGTATATATATATATATATACTATATACCTTCGGGAAAATCACATAGATATTGGAAAATAGTCAATGGGAAGGATGACATCCCATATTATCCCATATATGAAATGGAAAATTGGAAACAACCCTTTTTAAAGGATATTTCATCAATCTAAATGGATCTAGGCCATGGCTCCCACGCGCTGCGGCCCCGCGGCGCCTTGTCCAAGGCTCGCCAAAGATCTTTCGCTTCTCGAGCCCAGCCGAGCCTTGCGTTGACCAATGGCCCATGAGCAATTGGATTTAAGTTGGGCCATTAGTTTATATATATATATGTGTGTATATATATATAATTGTATATAGATAAAATGATAAAATGAATGAAATTGTATTTTTATATATTCATATGGGGGTTGTCCAAAATACCTTTTCCCGGACAGCCCTCAATCGCTCAGCCAATCGCGTAGCAACCGCGGTACCACAGTGAGCAATCGCGGAAGGGTTTGTTCTTCGTTGATCAGATCATATACATAAAATATAAGTTATGTATTATATAATGAGGATCCATGCGTGAACGCATTCGATTTCAAATTTGGGAACAAAATAAGCTCGCGCGGTCCGGAAACGGTCCGGAAAACTCACAGTAGTACCAGCAGCAGTAGTACTAGTAGTACTAGTAGTACCAGTACTAGTAGTACTAGTAGTACTAGTAGTACTAGTAGT